AAGTCAAATTTCTGCAATTCGTCCACGCTTATAGCCGAAACGCCCACAGTTGGTGACCGCAGCTCGATCCTAATCTTCTGCCAGTTAAAATTATGAATGTTCAGCTTACTCAACACATCTGCTGTTGCACGTCGACTAGTAGGGTTGATTCCACAATACTCGAAGATGAGTTGTAACAGATCTGAGTGTCCCAGATGGAAACACATAGGAGTTGTGGATAATGATGGAAATGCGTGAACAATCTCATCCATCACTTTGAGAACCTCTGCTTCATTCAAAGCAAAGTCCAGGGCGTCAGTGGTGACAATGTCGAAATCAGCTTCTCCAAACATGAGTGGGTGTCCCCCATCGTTCTTGTCACGGAAAACGTTGCCAAAGGTAAAAGATCGTTCAACGACTGGATCAAAATACGCCATCATCCTTGCGTTTCCTAGTGTGAGATCATATGGTAGCTGAACCACTTTGCCTCTCGGAGTCAAAAGCTGGACAGCATTGTCCCCATAATGTGATGACCGGGGATATATGCTGCTTCGAGGGGGTTCCAAAGCACCATGGCGGCGGAAGATCGAAACAAGCTCTTGCTTGACCAGTACTTGATTGAGCAGCTCCTGTGGGCTCAAGATCCTCGCAGACATATCCCAAGCGTAATCCTCAATGGGCTCCATACGCTTCGAAAATAGCCACGAAAGCGTCTTGTGGTAGTATGGCGAGCTTGGGTTTGCAAGTATAGCAAGAGTCTGCCTGCCTCTCACACTCTCGATTTGAATAGGCAGCTCTTCATTGTTGAGAAGGTCAGTACTCGAAGGCCTTTCCTTAGGATTGTGGTTGACCAGAGACAATATAATATCTGCCTGAGCTTTGTCCGTAGGCTTAAAGTCCGATGGCAACACTGGCTTCGGCCGCCTAAGCTGACCAAGGACATCGGCCTTTTGCATACCCATCATAGGCAGATAGCACATCTCGAAGAAAATGATACCTAGAGAATACATCTGATTTCATTAGTCTAAAGTCATCACCCGGATTTGATCCACTTACATCGACCTTCGTGCTATATATGCCGTTGACTGTTGACCTGACTTCGGGTGCGGAATAATATGCAGTGCCGATGCTTCTCGTCATATCGTCTGTCTCCAGAGTGTTTCCGTTGGCCTTTTCCAAGGAGAACTGTCCGCTGGTGGCGAGTCCAAAATCGCCGATCTTCACATTGTCAATACCGTCCGAGTCGCTAGTAATGAAGATGTTTTCCGGCTTCAAATCACGGTGGACGATGCTAAGCCCATGGATGTGAGCCAAACCTTCCAGAATCTGAGAAAACAGTCGCCAGATTTCAGGAGTATTTTTGTAAAGATTCCTTGCGATAAGATCTCGAAGAGTCTGGTAATGGTAAGCAATTGCGTATAGGAGATGTTAACAGACCGCGTGACTTACACGTTTTTCACAATACTCCATCGATATGTACAGCATGGTTCTGTATGAACGCTGATATCGAGCTCGTCGCTGGAACATGGCGTTTCTCTCTTTATCTGGCGACGACACTCTGTGAATAGACATCTCATCTTCTGTATCATCCTCTTCTTCTGTCTCGTCTTCGTCAGAGTCATCTTCGTCTGAGTCTGAGTCTTCAAATCCATAATCGGCGTTGGCATTAGATGAGATAAAATCAAGTCCTCCTGTACTAGCAGCGAACTCAATGTCAATCCCTGCAGATCCGGTTCCTTGAGTGTTCTCTTCGGTGAAGTAACCAGTCGATGTATCGTCTTCAGTTTCGGCTTGATCAGGAGCTTCTTCAACCCATGCGGTATTGTATCGGACAACCGCAGGATGGTTGAGTTGAGATAAAAGCCGTACCTCCTTTAGAATCTCCGTAAGATTAGCCTGGGACCGCGGTTTGATTTTCTTGATGGCGTAAATCTGGCCATCCAGCTTCATCCTTGCCTTAACAACCTCTCCGAAACCGCCCTTTCCTAGCCTAGCTTCCTCAATGAAGTCCTCTGTGTACCGTGATAGAGTGGTACCTCGATGAGTAGTAAACTCATGCCGAGATCTTGCTGGAAAGTTTTGTGTGGATACCGAAGGGCTTGTAGATGGGATTGTGGGAGAGTCCTCGAAAAGAACTGGAGCATCTGTGGCTAAAAATTCACTGGATCCAAGCTCAAAAGCTCGAGGCCGTTTTTGCTTGTCTTCCTTGAAGAACCTGTTGACCAACTCATGCAGAGAATGGGACAGAGTGACCGATTCCATAAGATTCTTGGGCGACGAGTATGTTCGCAGCGCGTCCAGGCCAAAGATCATCTGGATGAATACGACACCGAAATCCCAAATATCAGTCTTGAATGTATACGAGGGCTTGGATGCACCGGCAATCTCAGGGGGTAGCCAGTAGGCAGACTTGGCAGTGTTCAATCCTGGTAATCCGGGTTTGTTCGAAGTGATAGAGTGAATTTCTCTCTGATACCAAGCATCAGATATCTTGGGGACAATTTGACCATTCGGCTCTCGAAACAGGAGAATGTTTCCTGGATGGATATCTTGATGTGCAATATTCTTGTTGTGGAGGAAATTGAGTGCATCTAGCAGATCCCGCGTCCAGGAACGCACTCTGCCAATATCTTGAATCCGTCCTGCAAGCTCCAAGAACTCCTCCAGAGAATTTTTCTCTGCCAGGGGCGACAAAACGTTAACAGTACACACGTTCGCGACAGTAGGATCTATAGAAAGTCCGGCCTGCACCTTGAAGCCTAGAACTTCAACAAGATGACGATGATGAACTCGCTTCACAGACTTGAGATCCTGAAGACGAGACTCGAGACTTTGTAACTGAAGCTTGAACTCCTTCGTATCCTTATTTGCGGTACGAATAACAGTTTGCTTCAGTGCCATAGGTAGGTTGCCTTGCCCATTAATCAGTACAGGTCTGACTTCATAAACGGTGGATACAGGCCCCTGCCGAAGTTGACGTTTGCTTGTAACAGACTTGAAGACGAGCGTATTCCCCGACTGATCCGTAGCGTTACATAACTGCTCAAACTCGATGATCTCTTCTGTCTCTGAACTTGTAGAAGATTGCTGAGGCGTATTGCCGTTACGACGCTTTGACTCTTTGGCTTTTTGTTTCTGTCGATCAATCTGCTGTTGGAGCATCTCGGCCATGATACGTTCTTCCTCCTGCGTCGCTTCCATTTTCTTGCGGGCTTCCTCTTCCTTCTTCTCTTCTGCTAACTTTGCCATGGAGGCTTCGTGCCGTTCTCGTTCTTCCTCGAGAGATGGTAGATGTTTCCCGTTTGCCTTCGCTTGGGCAGCATCCTCGAGAATATCCCGGACTCCTTCGACGATTTGATCGATCATTTCTTGGGCATCCTGTGCGAATAACTTGGGCTTCGTCTCTAGGTATTTCTGGACTTTGAATGTCGTGACTTCTTTGAGGTCGTAGTTCTTCAATGTGATAAGAGGAGGCGACTTCGGGTAGGTTGCAGTCATGACAAAGCCTAGCGTACAAGCAAAGTCTTCATCCGATGATGCTTTTATCCGAATATCAAAGTGTGGTTCTGACTTCTATAGGTCGTGAGCTTCAGTCGCCCAGATGATGAGTCTCGATGACAAGGGTTCTCTAAGGTACCTTCCAGGCGTTTTGAGTATCGGTATGCATGACGAAGTCGTCGCTATAAATAGCCTCAAGGGCCAGTAGTTCGTTCTGTTGTAGCTCTTCATATTCAATTTTGTTGACGACCTCCGGACTCGCAGCAGGTAGCAAGCCCGGGAAACTTGACTCATTGTTGTTGGTATTCTTGAGACCTGAGGGTGTTTTCCATACCCCAGATTGCTTCCCCGCCATGTTTGCACAAAGAGGAAGTCACAGCAAAAGCTGTGACGTTCTACAGGGAAGAGGCCATGACGGCAATACTGAAATAATAAAGAATGTTGTAATAAGGGTTTTTAAGAACATCCAACGTATGGATGAAAGATAAGTAAAAAGGAAGATAAAATCCCCTTCTGACGTCGGGACAGCGGGGTAGTTAGTTGTTACAAGGGGGTGCGAGAAAAAGAGTGGAGAGAAACATCATCCCCTAGCATCCATATCAACTTGGAGATACTCAGATGGTATCATAACGTTCTGATTATTTTATCAATATATTATCATAAGCTTAGAGTAACTACTACAAGTCTTAGGGATAAAATTAGCTGCATTTATATGAAATGATCACATGAAAAAGAAATATTTAGTCTATATTTTCCTTGAACCCAGGGGGAGTCTTTCATATGTTCCCAACTTCTCGATATCCACGGCTGCCAACTCAATTTGCAATGTTCACAAAGGCGGTGTCGTCTCATCGAATTACAGGCGGCCACAGGGCTGATGAGGGGTCCGCAGCGGCTCTTGCGGCGGCCAACCTACCAACTTAATTGCTTGAGTGCTCCATTGGAGCTGCCGCCTGGACCACCTGCGGTACCGACAGATCGTGCATCTGGGCGTCGTCCATCCTTAGGTAACCTGGAAGAAAAACACCTAGGGAACAGCGAGCTCTTCATATGATGACAAGTTGTGCCTAGGCTCAACTCTAAGCGCTGCTGGGCTTTCAGCAAAGCTCCTCTGGTTCATGGTACTATGATTCTAAGTTATGATAGCTTGCAATTTAGCTGCAGAGGGACTAATACCTTGCATTAGCTGAATAGTTCCCTCTATTTTTGCAGTCTAATAGGAGCTGCACTAGCGCATTTCTCATTGGGTGGAAGAACTTGGTGGGACAGGGGCGCTAGGGTCTGCTTGGCGTCTATGATCTGCGACAGCTGAAAGTAAACATTGAAAACGAAAGTCAACATTGACATCAACCAATTTCGTCCAATCTTATCCTGCCACAATTGGACGGTCAACAACACAACAAGACCAACGAGGAGGATAAATGTTGCAACTCCAACGTTTATGATCGCTTATGCGAATGGTTTTCTTTCTTTAAAAGGGCAGTTGGCATTCTCATTCACGCCTACACGCAACGTACCGCAAGATGCTGGGTTGGATGTTGAGACGCGGCGAGAACGCGCCAGAACCGGTCAATGATGGAGGTATTTATCGCATTCAGGCATAGCAGTTGAAGTAATTGACTTTGTTTACTAGACACCACGCAAATTGATCAACCGGATACCCCCGCGCCTGTTTTCGCTGCTAGAGCGTTCAAGAGTGCATTGTTTGGAACTCCAGCGCGACCTACCAACCAAGCTACAAGAGCAGTAGCAAAAGACAGAAACGATAAGACAGATCAAATGTCTCGAACCCCGCCTCGACCACAAGGAATTCTTTTGACCCCGGGCACCGGAACTACGAGACGAAAGCGCGTATCTTTTGGACAAGATGTCAAGAAGAATAACAATCTCAGCAAAGAGCCAGAAACGCGCCAACGCACACGATTGAACGACGCTTTGGAAAAGGCCTCAAAGTCCGTGAATCAGAAGAACACAACACAGCAAGACCAGGACGATTCTTCAGATGAGTGGGAAGAAGCTGACGACGAGGACTACTGCACACACGACATCACGGTTGATCTTAACGAGCCTCATTCGCAGTCGGGCAGATATTGGAAGGAGGAATTCGAGAAATACCACGAAGATGCGAAAGCCGAAATGGAGAAGCTACTCAAGTACAAGCAACTGGCAAAATCGTACGCCAAGCAAAAGGATGCGGAGGCAATTGAGCTCGCAGTCAAGCTCAAGGAAGAACAACAAAAAGTGATTGAGATGGAAAGGCAGATTGCTGAAGGTGCTTCCAAGATTGCATCAAAGCGAGTAGACAGATCAGACGAAGTCAGTTCCGAGTTATTATCGACACTCACGAAGCAAACAGCCCTGGCTGTGCAATATCGAACACGCGTACAAGAGCTTGAAGACCAACTTGAGGATTTCCTTCGAGAGCGGGAAGATGATGCGGACCCTAAAGACCGCAAGCGACGACAAGCGACATCACCCAGGACGCAGAAAACCCTTATCGAGACACAGCGTGAACTGAGACGAGCCCGAATGCAAGTCAAGGAAGTTGGCGAACTTCGTGAGCAGATATCTTCTTTGAAAAGTCAGCTCAGAGCGGCGGAGAAGCGTGCTACCAAGGCCGAGGCAATAAACGAGACGAAGAGTACGCAAGAAAAAACCGAAAACGAACCGATGCGCGAAGGTTCACGAGCACAAGAACTACGCGCCCAGCTTCGCGAAGCAAGGGAAGAAAACAAGAAGAAGGATGAGGAGTTGCGACAACTGAAACAAGAATTTGAAGCCTATCGTAATGAAACTCAAGCCCACAACGCGGACACCAATGGTGTTTTAGAACGAGCGCACTCCAAGATTGCAGAACTCAAGAAGGAAATCAGAATACTCAAGGCTGGGGACAATGATGCTCTTGAGCATAACGACAACGCAGCTCGGCCTAAGAGCTGGCATGTTCAGACAGACACAGGGCGTCTGGCAGAGGAAGCCTCAAAGCCCCGGATCATCGATTTAGATGACAGCACCAAGAATCGAAGACATGATATGGCACGACGAAGCTTTGACTTGGCCGACCTGGAAAATGAGACTATGGAGCTCAAGGCGACAGACCCAAACGTGCCCTCATTACGCCAGAAGTTTCACGAAGACGCTGTACCTAAAGTCACCAAATCGGATATCGGCACTTCGAAGCCAATATCGTCAAGTCTTGGTGATAAGCCAGACATTGGCCGGCCTAGATGGCAGCCATTCGTTCCGCGATCACCGAGAAATAGAGCATATCTTGGCGAAGAAATCACTAAGCGAATTGAGAATGGGGGTGCGACTCCCGGCCGAACTGGTTTGGATGACATCGCCGCGCCTGATCTGCCTGCATTGGCTAAGTCAATCGCTCGTTCGAAGCGAATCACATCTGGCGAGAAATCTGAAGAGAAGATTGACTTATTACATGATCACTATGCGCGTGTAGGAGGCCCGGATCCGAACAACAGCACATTCATGGTCAACGCGTCAAAGAGCGTGTTGCCGCCTGAGCGTAGAGCTGCTGCGATTGCAAGAATTGAACAGAGAATGGCGGAGAAGAAACGAGCGCGTGGAAGAAAGGCATATGACAAGGAGAATGTTCGACCCTGAGAATGATAATGTACATACGATGGATACCTTGGGTGTGAGACGAGTAAGTGAGGTGGGATACCCTGACTATTGACAATTGTTCGTCATACAGTCAAAATGACCGAATTGGATTGGCATTCGCATGGAGTTCAGGGGGTTTCCTCGATGGAATCCTTATTATTGGATTTACATGATGATGGTTGTCATGGTTTTGATAAGTAGTTTTTTTTATTTTAAATTTTGATGGTCTTATCTCTGAACGAGCTATTTTGATGCTCAACTTAACCTCTAAAAATACCTAAACTCATGATGCCTTCACAAATACTGCCACCAGATACGGCTAATGTCATTCAAGATGAGATTCTTGAATTAGAAAAGCGTCTCAAGGATGCTAAAGCACGTCTTAACAAGGTCCAGCCTTCGCCACCCCTATCTGTATCTACAGAGCGTAAGACTCATCTCAACCCATAGATAAGGACCATAACTCATGACTCATAGCTCATCTCGCCTCAACAACTCATTTTCTACTTCTTCTCTCAGACTCAGCACTTCCATTAGGCTCATTTGCTTTTAGCAGTGGTCTCGAGTCTTATCTTGCTCATGAACCGCGTGCCTCGGCATCGTTTGCCTCCTTTCTGCCTTCATCGCTCTCATCGTTCGCCGCGACAACACTACCCTTTGTCTTAGCAGCGCATCGCGACCCGGAGTCTCTTCCTCAGTTAGATGACCAGCTCGATGCTGCTATCATTTGTACTGTAGGTCGACGTGCGAGCGTTGCGCAAGGTCGTGCATTGCTGGGAATCTGGGAGCGGTCGTTCCGTGCGAGCTGCCCAGATGTTGATGGGCGGCCATTGAGGGAATTTGCAGCGTTGTTAAGACATGAAAGTCAGAATGAAGTGCCGCTTGTCTCTGCGCATCTAGCGCCACTGTTTGGAGCGATATGCGCGCTTGTAGGACTGGGTTTGCGACAGACAGCATATGTCTTCATGCTGAGTCATGTTAAGGCGTTGATATCTGCTGCGGTGCGAGCAAGTGTCTTTGGTCCGTATCAGGCGCAGAAGGTGTTGGCTGGGCAGCAAGTACAGAAGATGATCGACGATATGATCGACCGAGAGTGGAATACTCCCGTTGAAGAGGCTGGGCAAACAGTGCCTGTTATGGATTTATGGATTGGACGGCATGAGACATTGTACTCTAGAATTTTCAACAGCTAATATCGTGTGCTGCTTGTGGTATCATTATTGTAATACAAAATATCTATGCATTTCTAAATATCAATCAAAACGCCTTGTCCCTATTCATCATCGCTGTCGCTATCACTGCCATATGCCACCAAAGGTCCTGTCGTAGCCGCTGCTTTGGGTTTCGATGCTACCGAAACCTTGGCCTTATTGAGAGCCGCAAGGGTGCTGCCTGAGAAGATACCGCCAGTCTCTTGTTGAGGCTGAGGCTGAGGCTGTTGCTCTTCAACTTGAGCCGGTGGTTCGCCGGACTCTCCGGTTTCAATCATTGGTCGTTCCTGATATTCTACTTCGAATCCTGCTCGACCCAGGGGGTTTACTGCCTGAGTGCCTCGGGCAAAATGAATTTCATCGGGCGCCTCGTATCCCTCAAGACCATAACTGCTTTCGATCTTCCGTCGCTTTCTAGCTTCGGGATCTCGGCCTTCGATTTCAGCGACGAATTCTGCGGGAAGAGCTCTTCGTATAGCTTCAGCGGCTTGCTCCTCGATTTTGCGTGCCTCTCGAGCTTGCGCCATAGGGTTGGGATCGGCTGTTGCCCAGCGAACGTTGAGCACTTCCTCGTGGTCGAGAGACTGATGTGCCATGGCCTCTTTGGCAAATTCGGCATTGGCTTGGTTGACGTATGTGATGAAAGCGACACCTCGGGTATTGAGAACACGAACTATCATTGTTAGTAATAAGCCAATTGTGTGAGTCGGATGAGAACTTACTGCGCTCGACAGGGCCCCATTCTGCAAAGTGTCGCGCCACAATCTCTTCGATATCGTCTGTAACGTGAATCCTTCCAACATACACTGTCCTGTTCTGCCTCATAAAACTTCCGACACCACCCATGTCGTCTCGGTAATCGGAAAACTTGTCGCGTCCAAAGCAGTCGACATTGGGGTTGAAGTGATCGTATGTTCCAGGTAACCTGTGAAGGAAATCGCAGTCTTGACCTTTGGGACAAACGCCGCGCGCAAAGCGCAAACAGAAGTAGCTTCCAGGCATCGCGTCGGCCTTGGTATATCCGCTATCCTTGGCGACATTGCAGCGACCCTTCGCCTTGGTCTTCGATAGGTACTTGTCTTCTCGATCACCACCAGACCACTTGTTATACCAGATGTTGAAGATTGTACCGGTTTGAGGAGGGGGTTCTGATGTGACGAAATCGGGGTCGACTTGGGCTCGCGCGGGTCGCTTCTTCTTGCGAATGATCTTCTTGACGACTTTCTTTCCAGTTGGCGCTGCAACCTCGGCATTCGTTGTCGCTAACACCATGTCCTGTCCCTCTTGCTCGACGACCGGCGCCGTGTCGATTTGTTCTGCTGTATCGGCCATGATATCGAACGTGAAAGATGAGTCCTCGGAAGGTTGTTGTGATGGCAACGCGACGAGCCTGTGCTGATGATGCAAGGCTGTAAAAGATCCATTTCTGGGGAGAAATAAAGTGTCAGAAAGGGAAGGCGGTGAGATTGACCTCCCGCACCTGTGGAGCTTGATATTCGAATTCTGCCACCACTTCATCAGGCCTCTCAACCCCCACTCATGATTTAGATCTTGATCTGGCGCCTTTGATTCGGTTTATACTTTCTTGTGATTACTTTTTCTTACTGAACTGTTTCTAGAGACGCAAAGGCGTCTCAAACTACCGCCAATATGGTGAACATTACGGAAAAGATTAAGGAGTAAGTCCAGTCTTGAATATAATGGCGGGGCATTACTGACATAATAACAGGATTGAGGAGGAGATGAAGAGGACACAAAGTGAGTAAATCTACGATTATCAGACAACTTAGATGTTATATCCCTTTGTTGTACACTTAGAGGAGTTTGTCTGAAGATGAGACCTATAACAGTCGACCTTGGGAAATGCCTTAAGTTGTGACAGGTTGGAGGAATATAAAATCGTTACAGAGACTTCATAAGGCTTCGTGAATATTGACTAATATCTTTTTAGAGAACAAGGCGACTGGTATGTTGTCATGAAAATGATTTCTGAATGTTTTAATATTAACGGCCCCCAGAATATCATTTGGGTTTATTAAAAGGGTGGGTTTCGCATGCCATGGCGACAGGATTATCTCCTTCAAGACATTTATACTAACTGTCCTAGAAAACTCGCTCGACTAAGGGCACAGCTTCTAGAGCCCGGTCCTGGAGCTGGTGGTGGTGGTGGCTCAGGTTTTGATGTCAGCAAAAGTGGTGATGCGCGAATTGCTCTTGTTGGTTTCCCATCAGTAGGAAAATCGACATTCTTATCGAAAGTCACCAAGACGCGGTCCGAAGTCGCTTCCTATGCTTTCACAACCTTGACAGCTATTCCTGGCGTGCTCGAGTATGGCGGTGCTGAGATTCAGCTCCTCGATCTTCCCGGTATTATCGAGGGTGCTTCTGAAGGCAAGGGTCGAGGACGACAAGTTATTTCAGCCGCCAAGACCAGTGATCTTATTCTAATGGTTCTTGACGCTACCAAGAAAGCCGAGCAAAGAGCATTGCTCGAAGCTGAATTGGAAGCTGTTGGTATCCGCCTCAACCGAGAACCACCGTAAGTCCAACTGAGACAAGTTTGAATGGCTATTAATGTGAGACTTTAGCAACATTTACCTCAAGGTCAAGACAGCGGGTGGCATGAAAATCACATTCCAGTCTCCTCCCAAGAATCTGGACGAGAAGATGCTTTATAACATCCTCCGCGACTACAAGATTCTTAATTGTGAGGTTCTCGTCCGTGATGAGAACGCTACAGTCGACGACTTCATTGATGTTATCATGAAGGACCATCGAAAGTACATCAAGTGCCTGTACGTCTACAACAAGATTGACAGTGTCTCGCTTGACTTCTTGGACAAGCTAGCACGCGAGGATCATACAGTTGTCATGAGTTGTGAGCTAGACCTGGGTATCCAGGATGTTGTGGACAGATGTTGGAAAGAGCTTAAGCTGATCCGTATTTACACCAAACGCAAGGGTGCTGAACCAGACTTTGGTGAGGCGTTGATTGTGCGCAGTAACAGTACAATCGAGGATGTCTGTGACCGCATTCACAGGACTCTGAAGGACACGTTCAAGTATGCGTTGGTGTGGGGTGCGAGCGCAAGACATGTTCCTCAACGAGTTGGTCTGGCACACCCTGTGGCGGATGAGGATGTAGTGTATATCGTTAGTGCTTGGAAGGCATAGATATATATGCAAGTCTCTTGAAGTTGAACAAAATTCATTACCACACTCGACTTCATTCGTTGAAATTTAGAACTCAAAGGCATGTTTCATTGTTAAAGATCGTACATAAACCGGCCACCAGAAAAGAAAGGCAAGCCAAACCCTGTCATCGCATCATATCATTACAAGCCAAAGTTTCCATAACCTGTGTCACCAATACAATGTGTGTATGTGTACGTCAAGTGAACCCCTAACGCCCTTAACCTGACCTCCAACGGTTTAATTAACACCATGGGCTAGTGGTTCCTAGCAAACAAAAACAAAAGCCTTAACCATGAAAGGTGCACATGTTCTATCCGAAGAGAAGAGATACCGTTTATCTCTTACAATTGGAAAACAGCCTTGGCTGGTGCTGGCTTTGCCCCCAAGGGATTGTCGCCCTGGAGTTTCTTAGCGCTCGCTTGGGCGAACAAGGACTTAGGCTTAGCCCTGAAGGAGATGTTAGTTCATTGTTATTGTCTCAAGGGAGAAAGAATGACGAACTTGCTGGCGTGCTTGTTTCGTAGAGCATTGATCTTTGCAGAGCAAGGGCTCATAATGTTGTCTGAAGGCGAGACGTACTTGTTGGCACTGCTTCAGGGTTAGACTTTGATATTGAGTTGAGGTAGTTCAGAGTCACTCACGTCTCTTCCTCAGCCATCTTGGACTGGAGAACCTGGCGATGATACTCCATGCTCTTAACGTCCTTGGTAATTGGCTGCTCAATCATGGCAGCGTTGACGTCCTTATCGGCGAGAACCTTGGTCGACATGATGAAAGTGTTGTAAGAAGTTGTGAAGTAGAGACGTTCGTCTGAGAGAGTAATACTCGAGTGTAGAGAGAATAGAAGTTGATTTGCGATAACGCTCTTTGTTTGTGTATGAAGAAAAACAGTCGAGATGGATGTTGGGTTTCTTTAATGAAAAGATAGAGTGCCCTTGTATGAAATAGGTACAGACCATGCACAAGTGGTAGGAAATTAGCAGGCAAAGTAAACGGTGCCTCCTGTTGACAGGGCAACGGGCAATTAATGAAAAATGCAAGGATTTTGGGCAGTAGGGACCCGATGACGTTGGTTATTTCCGTGTTTTAGCAGGCGATAGAGGCCTGGAATGGTCGGTTACAGGGGACTCCACTGTGAGAAATGGCACGCTGAGGCCTGTGTTTTACGCTGGCTTGTCGTGAACAACGCATCATCACTGGGGTAATGGAATGGCATGACTTGCATCTGTATGAAGAAACTCTCAGGGATTAGATATTGACTCATTTAGAACGGAGACATCGCATTGATGGTTCTATGACACCCAATGAAAACTTAAGGGTGCTGGGACCTTTGAAACAACATGTTAACTATACCCAGTTGTTCTAAGTTATAATAGAGCTGTGATATTGTATATTACACTTGAGACTTCAAACATAATCAACTGTCATTGTGGACGGAGGATTCTCGGGAACTATGCCAATTATGCCGTCAACATGCCACGGATGGAATCAATGCCAATGCAGTTGCCCTAGGAAGCTCGAGGCTCCTTGCATTCAGATACCAACGGTAGGTAAACAGACATGTCCATATCAAAAGTTCATCTTCTGCAAGCAATTGAGTAATGGCTTTGTCATATTCAACGAATAGCATGTGAGGTATCATACATGTTTAATAATATAATAATTCGGATATTCAACTAGTTATGAGGCCGCCCTTCGGCCAATATCAAACAAACAATCAACAACATGCTGCCACGCCAGTCTTCGCTGTGACGACCAAAACCTACAGCTTAGCATTGTGCTTTATTCTAGCACCAGGCTGTGACCTCTCAACACCGTATTGCTTCAACAATTCCTCAGTCTTAGCTCGCTGTCTCTTGATTGTCGCTGTCGCCTCAGCGCTGCGCTTGTTCTCGTTACGTCCCAACTGCTGCAGATGCACCTCATCAGGTCCGTCAGCAAGGCGCAGCGTTCGGATACCTGCCCACATGTATGCCAAGGGTGTATCCTGGGAGACACCAGCGCCTCCGTAGGCCTGAACCGCACGGTCGATGACAGTGAGAGCAGTCTGGGGAATGAGAACCTTTGCTTCTGCGATCTCCTTGAGGGCCTTCTTGGGACCTAGGTCGTCCATCTTGATGGCGGCGTTAAGAACGATCAGGCGTGCGGCGTCGATTTCAATACGGGACTTGGCAATCCATTCGATGATGACACCGTGCTCGCGGAGGAGTTTGCCAAATGGTTTCTTAGACTCATCGTTGACGCGGAGGAGCATCCAGTCAAGAGCACGTTCAGCCTGGTCATTGTCAGATATTGGTTCAGATGCAGAATATTCAAGGCAAACTCACAGCGCCAATGCTACGCATAGCATGGTGAATACGGCCAGGGCCCAGACGACCTTGAATGATCTCAAATCCTCGTCCCTCACCGAGGACAAGGTTAGAGACAGGAACTCTGACGTTCTTGAAGGTGAGGTGTCCATGGCCATGAGGGGCATCATCGAATCCGTAGACCTTAAGCATGCGGTCGATGGTAATACCAGGTGTGTCGGCAGGTACCAGAACGACCGACTGTTGGCGGTAAGGGTCCTTATGGTTGGCATCTGTCTTACCCATGACGATGTAAATCTTGCATCGTGGGTCACCAGCACCGCTAGACCACCACTTCTGACCATTGAGAACGTACTCGTTACCCTCGCGACGGATGTCCAACTCAATATTTGTAGCGTCAGACGAAGCAATCTGAGGCTCTGTCATGAGGAAAGCCGAACGGATCTTGCCATCCATGAGAGGCTTCAACCACTGCTCCTTTTGAGCATCGTTGCCATACTTGGCCAACACTTCCATGTTGCCTGTGTCAGGAGCTGAGCAGTTGCATGCCTCCGAAGCAACATGTGAGCGTCCGAGCCACTCAGCCATGAGACCATACTCGAGGTTGGTATAGCCAGGAGACTCCTTGTAGTGACCCTTGGGGAGGAACATGTTCCAGAGACCGAGCTTTCTGGCCTTGGCCTTAAGGTCCTCGATGACGGAAGGGTGACCTTCCCAACGAGCATCACCCTCGCCGGCTTGGGCTTCTACAACAGGGTCGGCACTGATAAGAATTAGAGATGTAGTTGCGTGACTGTGAAAGGGGCAACTGACGGGATACATTCTTCCTCGACGAACTTGGCGACGAGGTCAAGTTGCTTCTTGGCAGCATCACTGACGCGATTGACAGCCTGAGTTATCAGTGTTAGTCTCACTATACTCTCGACTGGATTCAGGTTGAAGGCTTCTCACAATAAGTGGGATTCTCGCCGACATCGTAGTTGTCTATGGCCGACTTGTGCTAGATTATGGTATGGTGGATGTAATAAAGGGAGTGTAGTGTCACAAGGAACTGGAAGGTGTATCACAACAGCAGTGTTAGACAACGAAAAAAAATATAAGAAAGATGAGAGGAAGCAAGTCAAGATATGTAGAAACAAAGTACAAGCTACTGCAAATAATTCTACCCCAGGTTTGTCTCAAGCTCCAACTTCTCCGCACATCGTCGAATGTCCAGGTCAACGGAGCCGAGGTTCGCGGCTGCTGACTGTACATATTGGCCACTCACAGCTCGAGCTTCTCCAAGTGGATACGTTGGAAATCCGGGGTACAACTGCTATCATTGGAAGCCTCCACAGCCTCGGACAGACGTGGGTCTAAGCCGAGGAGCTCTGATAGCTGACTCGAGCTTCCCCGGTTATAGGCGACTCGACTGATGTACGAGACTGATAATGGCTCGATTTTTGATCTAATAATGGCCTGATTAGATGTATCTTCAAGTCAAGCCTAGGCATTGCTTCAAGACTCTAGCAGCTGACGCATTGACAGTCAAACACAGCTTATATCATATCACACTCGAGGAGAGTCAGAACAATTCAAAGACAGAACAAGTCGCATCCATGTATAAACACCAAGGAGAAATAAAAAAGACTAAACCCAGCTGCCTCTGTATGATACATCCAGGCAATATCAATGATCCACCACCGAGGAGAGCTACCCTCCTCTTCACTCAACACAATCACACACCTCCCCACATCCAATCAACGTCTTCCCATGCTACCCTTTAGCAAGCGCAGCCATCACGGTCATTCTCGATGTGAATGTTGATCGGGTCATCAAAGTCGCCGCTGAACTCTTCAGACTCTTCTTGGGCGAGAGCATTGCGAGCAATCACTGCAAATCGTTAGCTTTGTCAAGATGTCAGAGCATAGATACTTACCCTCAAAAGCCTGGTCGATGTTAATGGCTTCCTTAGCACTTGTCTCAAAGTAGGGAATGTCGCCCTTGGACTGACAAAAAGTCATGGCACGTTTGTTGGAAATCTTGACAATGTTAGTTCGTGATCACCAACACTTTCTGCTTACTTACCACTCGCTTGCTCTCCTCAACATCGATCTTGTTTCCAAGCACGACCTAAGTTTCGGATCAGTACTCTTCCTTCTTTCAAGCTAAGGGCCACTAACGAATGGGAAGTTGGGAGGGTCCCGAGGAGAAGCCTGGATGAGGAATTCATCTCTCCAGCTGTCCAGCGCCTCGAAACTCTTGGCATTGTTCACATCGTAGACCAAAACGCAGCAATCGGCACCTCGGTAGAACGCCACACCGAGGGATTGAAAACGTTCTTGACCTGCCGTATCCCAAAGCTATCCCAGAAAAGTCAGTCTACTGTCCCTCAAGGTGCAATCTTGTGTCCCTGTCCTACCTGCATGGTAACTTGTCGATCGTCAACGAGGACCTCTCGAGTTAGAAAGTCGGCGCCGATAGTGGCCTTGTAGCTCGCGCTAAACTTCTTGTTGACCTGTAATCACCGGATTGTCATCAGTCTGTTGAATTTTCGTCGATATTGGCTGAAGATGCGTACATATTGATTCATCAAGCTGGTCTTGCCAACACCGCTATCGCCCAGGATGATAACCTATTTTCACACTCATATCAATATTCAAGGTTCCTGACAAATTCTGGCGTGGTTTCCATCATCTCGCACCTTGAGAAGGACCTTCTTTCGAGAAGACATGGTGAATTATTGCTTCTGGACGAGAAGTGTTGTTCAATGACGTTATCTCGAGCGTTCCAGACGCAATGATCGAAGCGCCGCTGATTTTATACCCTCGATTCCTCTATTCTTCGGGTCGTGGGCTGTCTTCGAGGTGGACCAAAGCTTCTGCTGCTCTGATCGATGTGGAACTTAAATTCGACCGTCAATAATCGAGTTCGTAAAAGGTTGGTGTTTTGGAGATGGCAGCGGCAGATGACGGTGGGCGGAGGTACCAATGTCGCAGCCTTGCCCGTCGCTCGAGGTGATTCTACAGACTAGTCCGGGTTTAGATTAGCGGTATGCATAGGTCAGGAAAGTGGGGGTCGCAAACCGCTGGCGGTCTTGAGTTTGTGCAACTCCACGTGACATCATATGCACCTCTATCATGCGACTTTAAGCTTCTATGGACTAGCTTTCACAAGAACGTTCTAGTAGGGATCAACCTTCATTATCAGGTACGCAAAGCCTCATGGACCTGCCAACGAGGCTGAGACGGCTGAATTATGGCGGATGATGGCCTTCTCGACAAGGTCCACGCTCTGAGTGATCTCGAGCTGGCCTTACTCCTGTGTCTAATCAGTCGCGAACACTGTCTTGTCAGCACACCATCCGATGCTATCGACGACTTAATACAGGAGCTACAGCTTGTAGCTACAAAGACATTTGGCCTCAGTTGGGTCGTGATCCATTGCACTCCCTCTACGACGCTCGAAGATTTCGCATCTGCTCTTCTTCTGGGCAATGCGGCTTCTCCGTCTAGTCACTCCCCAACAGCATCGCGCCACCCCGATTCATACTTTACGTCGAGGCCATCAACGTCGCATCCGCGCACGCCCCTCAGTCCTCTAACACCCAGTGGTGCATTTACCTCTCGAATTGCCAATGTTGTTTTCGCAAAGAATCTCGATCGAGCACCCCAAGCTGTACAGATCCAAGCACTGGAACTTCTACGTACCCGTCGTATCTTTACACGAACATCTGTTCAAACGGCTCCGAAACAGTTCGTCTTTATCCCTGTCCTAGAGGCGGCGAGTGGAGGCGAAGCTCATGTGACGGCGCACTTGAACGATTTCTTATACATAGCCTATTGGCATAATCCCGAAGATGGATTCGTCAACTTGGAAGAGGCAGATGGCGGCAATGATGCCGATACTGCCTCCACGGGTAGTGTTGTGAAAAGGGGTCCTGGAGAAGAAACCAGCTCAGACCCACCTCTAATTGTCGAAAGTGTAGGTTCCCCTTATTTGATTTCTGTCCAGTCGCTGACTGTATTATAGGATATCAGTTATCTTGGTACACTCGGTAAAGAGGCACAAGTAGACGTCGAAATCACCCGCTACCAGATGAACATCGTCTCATTTCTTCGAATGCACCGAGCTGTTGCTGGAGGTATCAGTCCCACAGCCACAAAGCACTTCGGTCAACTCATGCGTTGTTTGGCTGCTTTGCATCGTCTAGACTTTGTAACACCAGCTCTTGTCGGCCTTGCTGCCCGCAAGGTGTACTTACACCGAATACAGCTGACTCCCCCAGAAAAGGAGAGGAGCATGCAATGGGGTAGTAGACTAGAAGCAGTAGAAGCCCTATTAGAAGATATCGGTCCCGAGGATGTGATTGAAGATGTCTTGGGCATGGTGACCGCGCCGGTCTAAGGCGGGTACCTTGTATTAATTAATTCTATAATAATCTACACGTCATGACAAGTCGAGGACTCCAGTTCCCCCCATGAAGCCAGTCACGGCTTACAATCTCGTCCATCTTTTGTTCATGATGCCGATGGTCCATCGCGTGATTTTGCCATATCCCAAATGTCGTTGCCGTTCCAAAAGAATCGGTCTAGTAGTAAAAGCAAAAGCCAGCATACATCTCCTTTCAACGCCTAATATCCTATGGTATAACTTAAGCAATCTGGTTGATCTTGCAAGACCAGCCGGAACCACCAGCAAGAAGAGGCAAACTGAGATAATATTAGTGAGGATCAAAAAAAGACGGAATCATAGAAACTTACCTAGCGCCGAGGCACCAGCCGAGCTCGTTGCCCTTGATCTTCTTGGCAATCTTGACCTCACGATCAATGGGCATTTCGTAACCACTGTGGAGGAGAGCCATCATGAAGTTGAGATCCAGGCACCACTCAGGTCGGTCATCCAACTCAGCCATAGCATCAGGGATGGTGGTGAAAACATCCCAACCAGACTTGCCCATGCAGACGGTCTGGGTAAGATCGTGCATCTCACGAAGAGTGAAGGAGTCGGGCATACCGAGGGGCTTAGTGCGGTCGAAGAAGTAGGAGAAGATGTAGACATCCTCCTTGGTGAAGGTCTTGGACAGCAGAGGCTGGTGAATACCGTTGAAAGAGCAAGGAGCGAGCTTGCACTCCTCATCCTTGTTGAGAATCTTCTCAGCAAGGTTTCGGCACTGAGCGGGAGCAGGTTGCGAGGGACCAACGAAGGTAACTTCAACAGGCTCCTCACTACCAGCAAGAGTGACCTCAACAGTCTTGTTCATGCCGGGGGCGATGCAAGGGTTAACAATAGGTTGCTTTACCCAGGCCTTGTCGGTGTTCTTGGACTCGATATCCTTGATAAGAGCGCCATGGATGGCCTTGCGGGCAGCCATAAGACCATAGCCCAAGTGAGAGTGCTGGTAGAGCTCGAAGTGACGACCACCGAAGTCGAGATCGTACTTGTGGTCACCCTCAGCAAGCTTCTCAGGCATTCCACCGTTAGCGGCGCCCTTGAAGGTAGGCTCGAAAACGATCTGAGTAGAACCACCACCAAGATCGAAAACAGCGGCCGTCTCGCTCTTATCGGGACCGCCAATCTTGCCGAGAAGGTAGTTGGTGGTAATCCAAGCATAAACACCCTCGAGAGAACCGTCCATGATAACGACACCCTCGTTCTCCTTGTCAACAACGGGGAAGGGGTAATCCTGCTCGAGGTGTCGTCGGACTTCAGCAAGAATAGCATCGGAGGCTTCCTTGCCAATCATTCGAAGACCAGCGGTGGCCTTGACGGCAACAGGAGTGCAGCCTTTGAGGGCGTTGGGAACGGTATCCATAGCGACCTTCATGAGGGGATCAAGACTCTTGGCAGCGGCCACAGGGTCGCCGTTATACTTGCTGAGGCCACCGACATCCTTCTCGGTCATCTTGAACTCCTCATGCTCGAGTTCGGGGGTAGCACCACAGTTGTTGAACTTGTAGACGTGGATTCGTGAACCAGTGCTGCCGGCGTCGATCATGAGAACGTACTGGACAATGGGCTTGTCCTTGGAGTACGACTTTGTGCATCGTTCGGTACCGTAGGAAGAATCTGAGGGAGACTGACCATTGTTGCCCTGCGCAGGATGAGTGACTGCTTCTCGTTAGCATAATGCGATTCGGACTCTCGGTCGATTGCTGCTACTACCTCCACTAGGCGTACCTTCGTGATACACTTCAACACCCTTAGGGGAGATAAAGTAGAAGAGGGTAACAATCGCAAAAACGATGGCGGCAGTCTTAATCCACCTCGTCCGCTGGGACTGTGTCATCCAAGACTCCTTCATCCTGCCAATAATGCCTTGTCTCTTGGGCTTGAACTTGTATCGGTCTGGTTTCTCGTGAGGGTCGAAGACAGGGAACTTTGATGAGGGCGGCGATGTGGGTGTTCTCATGAGCGCGGGTCTCACGAGAAGGGGAGATAAGATTGTGGTGTCGGGGCTGTCTGTTTAAAGAAGGGACTGGACTCGGTCGACCATCGGATAATTCTAGGGAGGGAGGGAGCGGTACACTTCGAAACGAGGGTTGGATTGGGAGGAAGAACGGGATTGGAGCGTGGCGGGGGAAAAAAAAAAAAAGAATAAATTAAAAGGGATGAGATGAGATTTTGGTTGTTGGCTGTTGACAAGCTGGCTCTCTCTTTCAGTTGCAGACCGATAACACCGATACAATAGAAAGGGGGGCAAAGATAGTTTTCGTGAGAGACGGAAATGGTTTGGTTTGCGTGATACAGCCAATCTGCATGCTTAAAAATTGAGGCTCCACACGCACCTCCACGGCCACAGCGATAGTGCCCGTCCAGCTGGCGCATCTGTCAGGGGCTTGGAGGATCAATTTTTAGGGGAGACAAGCGAAAAGCCCCTGAAAGCCCAGGGGAGAGAGCGAAACGCTAATTTTAGATGCCCCACCAATTGTCAAGATGCGACTTTTGATGTCATGAAGTTTGAACAGATTAGAAAAGGCAGAGAAGATATACAGTTACAATTATTCAATACTTCATCATAGTCTTCTGGCTCATTGTGTTTAACCTCTGATTATCTTATGATTATAGTATATAGACTCAACTGCGCCTCTTTTCTAGGTAGACTTTCTCCGTCAGCGCCATTAGAATGTTCCAGTTTCAAGTGAAGGCGTACGCAATGTTGGCTGCCTCACTTTCATACTTGCAATTCCTAGAATCCTCAAACTCGACCTGTTCAACCCGTAATAGCCACAACCTTCATTCTCAAAGCCCTAGTCAAACCTTCATAAAACCATAACTGCCTCTTGCGACTAAATCTCTGCGATCCTTACCAGCCAAGAAAACCACATTTCTCTCACCCCAAGAGACAGAAAATGGACGTCCAACTCTTTGTCTATGACCTTTCACGAGGCATGGCTCGTCAAATGTCCATGGGTCTTCTGGGCTTTCAGCTCGATGCCATCTATCACACCTCTATAGAGCTCAACGGCAAAGAGTATGTCTATGATGGAGGCATTATCGCAATTAGACCAGGCTCGTCACACCTTGGACAACCCTTGGAGAAGATCCATCTCGGCACAACGAGTCTGCCCATGGATGTAATAGAAGAGTTTCTCGACTCTCTACGACCAATTTTTACACTAGAGGTAATGCCCTTGCTGCATGTTTTGTTTACTTATCTAACGATGCACAGGCCTATGACCTTTTCCATCACAACTGCAATAATTTCAGCGATTCGTTCGCAAACTTTCTATTAGGGAAGGGTATCCCAGAGCACATTGTTAAGATGCCACAGGCTGTTCTCGACTCGCCCATGGGCCGTATGCTTCTTCCTCGGCTTACTCAAGGTATCAACGCTGGAAGGCAAAATGGCTCTATTCTTGGACTTCAACAGAGCGCTCAGACGCCAAGTGCACCAAAGCATGGCGTCAAGAATGTTTCCAATTCTGCTGACTTCGATCGTTTGATGCACGAGGCAAAGAACTCATGTGCTGTCGTCTTCTTTACATCAGCGACATGCCCGCCTTGCAAAGTCCTCTACCCAATTTATGACGAGCTTGCAGAAGAAGTTGGTGAGAAAGCCACATTGATCAAAGTCGATATCGCACAACCTCAAGCCCACGAAATCGGAAGCCTATATTCAATCAGAGCGACACCAACCATCGTGACATTCCTGCGTGGTGAGGAGGAAAATAGGTGGTCGGGAGCTGACCCAGCTGCTCTTCGAGGAAATGTCCAGCTTCTAGTGCAAATGGCATATCCTGTCCATCCTCATGAGAGACTCCGGCTTCCTAACTTTTCTAATCCCAACACAAAGCCTGTCCTTTACTCAAAGGTTCCTCCGCTGGATAAACTCATGTTTAAGATGGGTGACGAAGTTGCTAGGAAGCCAGAAGTTCAGGCTCTCAAGAAATACCTAGAGGATCGGACAAAGGATGGTCCTTCAAGTGCAGTCATTCCAGAGATGGGCCACTTGTCGGGTCTTGTCAGGGATTCAGTCACAACACTCCCCATTGATAATCTCTTCACTATCGTTGACTTATTCAGATGCGCTCTTTCGGATCCCAGAGTCAGTGGATACTTTGCTGAAGAAAAGAACCATGAGACAGTCCGGACTGTGTTGGACTTCGTGAATCAACAAACGCAATGTCCTTATGCCCTTCGCCTCGTCACGCTGCAGATGGCCTGCAACTTCTTCTCGACGCCCCTATTTTCTGACGAAATCATGCGAGATAGCTCGTTACGTGCTGCGGTCATTCTTCTCGTCTCTTCGAGTTTCCTTGACGAAAGCCATAACAACGTACGAGTTGCTGGTTCATCTCTCCTCTTCAACTTGTCACTGGCAAACCGCCGGGCCAGAAAGGAGTCGAAACCCATTCTTTCAGGAGATGACGAGATAGAGCTTGCTGCGTCAGTGGTCGAGGCCATCTCCTTGGAAGAAAAGTCAGCAGATGCATTACATGGAATGCTTCTGGCTTTGGGTCACTTGATTTATGGTACACCACTCGATGGTGATCTCCCCGACCTTCTTCAGACAGTGGGTGCGGAGGATAACATCCTAGGCAAAAGGTCCAAATTCCCTGATGAAAAGCTTATCACGGAAGTCGGAAAAGAGCTTCTGGGCAAGGGGCTTAGGAAGCCATAGTCTTCTTTCAATCTTACCTTCTGGTTACGAACAGTTAATCATTGCTCACGACCTCGTGGCAAAGTACGTTTGTCTATACCCTAGTTATAGAATGGGTTAGCCTGCCTTCTGAAGTACACGTTTGTTCTCTTCAGAGCACGAAGAACGATAAGCATCTAGATGTGTGTTTTCAAAGGATGGCGTCACCTCGCTGCTTAACGATATTTCTTTTTGGAAGGGTGAAAGTGTCAGATAAAGGCAAGGGCCGCATGAGCATATCGACAAGATGACCATACCTGACCTCTGACGAATTGACTTGTTGGTATGCCGTGTTAAATATTTTCACATTGGATCATGACGTCAGGTTATTTAAGTGATTCAATCAGTTTGTGCTCCTGTATAAATAAACGGGTTGAAGCCCACTCTGTAAGAGGCATTGATTTTCTTCAAGGTCTTCTGACAAGTTCTCTAACTAGAAATATTTACTGTGACAATAATAAGAACACACACATCTTCATTACGAGCTCAGTGACACTAGGATTTCAGCTCAATGAAGCCACTTGAACTCTTCGTCCGCAAAGGCATCTCGGTACCTGGTTTAAAAGGTTGTTCATGAATGTATGCTCTCAATTACTCGGTCCGCATCTCCATCTGATTTGCTATCATCGTCTGTCAGATCAATGTTGGTTGTGCTCACAAGCAAACCAGCAATGAGGCCAAGAAGCCGCACTTTCCCTGCATATAGTATTAAATCCAATTATATCGTTTTTTATGCTTGACTTGTAAGGTACGAGTCAGGCAATCCTTTTGTGGTACATTGAGTTCATGGTTGAGATCTCCCTCTGTTGACACTCGACAGTGCCAAGTCAACCAGATGCGAAGTTCCACAAAATGGAATGAATTTAGTAGGTGTGTAAGCAGTATTCAGTGCTTTTGAAAGCAAGGACGGGCTTGAATATTTGGTCAGAACGATTTGTGTAGATGAAAGTTTAGTGCGGAATACCATCATCTAACACTCTACAGCACCGTACTCCGTATAGCTTCCATCATGATCAACTGGGCCTGTGACCACCACAATCTGCCAATACCATAAACTCACTGCACAGCATAAGTCCCGAGTTTCAGCCTCATCAAAAAGCTGACCCAAGAGGTTGGATCGTGTGACAGATCGGTATCGCGAACGAAAATCGGAAACACTAACGTGGCGTCTTTTTGAAAAAGATTGAAATAATGACGATCCATCTGGTACGGCATTTTAGCCCGATTCTGGCTCAGACCCAGCAAAGTGTCTCTTGACCGGAGTAGTCTTGATTGAGGTTACAGTCTAGTTTCCGTACTTATACGGCGGTAGAGTGACGAGTGACTGGACACAAACACGTCACCCTCTGCATGAGAAAGGACTAAACCTGGTTCCTGGCATATGCCTCAAACCGCCACCAGAGAGATGATATTCGAGTCTGTCTCTATCGGGCAAGAACTAGCTGATGGTGTTTGAGCTAAACATTCCCTGTCCTGTTGAGCCGCCTGTCGACTGGAATACGGAGCCGTTTTAATTCTGACTACCTAGTGGCATCAAACTTCATCTTTCTCGGATTCCTTTGAGCCAAAATGCATGGCCAACGTCATTCGTTGCTTTCTGATTTTGAAAATGCTAGATTACCATTTCGGGACGATCATACAGATGCTACGGGTTCACTCCTTTGCGCTTGTATTTCACCCCTCGCTGATCACCTTCATATCGGACTCTCTTGTTGGAGGTTCCAAACTTCCCCGTGCTGTGATGCCAAGGGCCCAAAAATACATGATCGACTCTTTCTATAGAACTTCTTCCATAAGCCACCTGATCTAGTTTCGTGAATTGAAGACTAGCTCACATTGGATGCGATGCTACCAACGTCACGCTGGAAACTTTACATTCTTGTACCCTATCCATCATCAGCCAGGCGGGAAAAGTCAGAAACTCGCTGTTTAAATGCCACCATTACCGTTTTCGATCATTCAGTCTTCCTGGCGACAACCTTAGCAGTATTGAAATCTAGTGATGTGATGGAAAACAAAGAGCCTCTTCCTTTGGTAATACATGTTTTCAGTCACCATATTTTAAAGAGTCAGCATCTTCCACTTCATACCACAAAAGTCCAAGCCCTTACAAAGCATACTACATTCCAAACACACAATCCCAAACAATGGCTTTGTCTGCAGAGGCTATCATCTCTATCGTGGGGACTCTCATCAACCTCCCAAGTTGTGTCTTGGCGTTCTACCATATGTGTAAGGGGCAGAAAAAGGACCACCACAGGGGCACTCGAGGTATATGGACGCCGTGGTTGTCTCAGTGTTTCTAACACGAAACTGATCTATTCCAACGGATATCGAACAAGGACATAACCTTTCCCAACGAATGACACAGTATCCTGAAAATCATTCTCGTTGGAACCACCATCCAGATTACCCCAGTCCATGTGTTTCGTACATCGTTCCATCTCGCTTTCGAGGTGATGATCGAGTACAGCGAGGTCCTGCATGGACCTTCTGATGGCCGTTGAGGTGCTTAGTTAAGCTTCAGGTAGAAACCTGAAATCAGTTGAGGCTACAAATGTCCGGTCATTGTGTTTTTTTTTAATATGTTGGTCTTCCTATATCACGATAGTTTGGAGAGTGAAAGGTTGCTGTTTTGAGTCTTGATTTCCTTGTTGTGTTGGTTCTTTAACAAGCAGGTAATATTTCTCAAATCCCCACGGAGATCTTTGAGATTTCTTGTAAGTACATATTTTAATATAATGGTATCACGATCATTATAACAACTTCACCACCTTCCGTACCATTCAGAAAGCCTGATCCAGATGGACTTCATCTGGAGCATAGGGTAAATGTTTGCCCAGACCCATAACCCAACCACCTGTTGAAGTTTTGGTGGAGCAGAATCTCTGCTGACTAACCGAGACGGCAGCCCCACTCAGAAATTCTTGGGGTATATAAACTCGCACTTTTCCCGATCTCTTTTACTTTTGCTCCCTAGATCAAAAAGCATTTTTTTAATGTTTTCTGAGCCGCCACGACCTTCACCCGACCTCTGGGTCACCTCCCACGGTGTCGCGTTGCCTTTCCCATTGCGGGAAACGCTCAGTAGATTATAACCCTTGGATATAGGAAATTCTCCGTCAGGTCGTTGTTTCGCAACGATGTCTGTAGGCGGTGTAATGCCAAGAAGGGGGGACATTCCATCATCCTGAAAAGGATTTCGTAGTAAATATCGTGCTGCTGATATTGATCAGTGTGACGTCGCGTAAACGCGTGCTGCTCATGAGTTCCTGTTTGGCAGATGGTCGTCAACTGTAAAATTCTGCGTCGTGAACTTAGCACTGCTACGCGAACTCTCGTTTCGAGATACTGCTCCTTAGCCTGAGTCTCGACTTCGTTCATGCAGATCAAGACCTAAGCGAGCTTTGCCTTGTCGTAAGGATTAAGCTGATGAGGCTCAACACGGTTATTGGATCGTGTTCCTAGCAACCAAGCTAGCGTCCATATCCCAAACACCTTCACAAGTCGCGGCTTCACGTCAAACTTGACTCCAAGACACGTGAATCATGAATTCATTACGTTGTAGGCAAACATCCTATTATACAGCGCCAATAACCTTCAAAAGTCGCGAAAGGTCCTATCACTCATCGTTGGGAGACTCGCCCAAAATGCCATCAACACCCTGACTTCTGTGCTGATCCCTTACAAAGTCTTCGATTTTGTCATCGTGATGCGGTCGCTCTGGTGGTCCTGGTGGCTTGTCTTCCTCCTTGGGCGGGCTTTGACGAGCGGGCAGGATCTTGGCAGCAGCTGGGACGTATTCTGTGACTGCGAGAAGTCAGTAATTTATTGTCTGAAGAGTGTTTGGTAAAACATACTCTTCTCGATAACAGGATTGGGCTTCTGATTCTCCAACTCTCGTGTGTTATCCGCAGCCTTGTCAAGCTGCTCCTTGAAGCTCTCATCTTGGACGTTGTTGTTCTGGCCTGATTCTTGAGAAGTCATCTTTGTTTCGTTTTATGCGGATTGTGTTTCCTGTTGAAGGATGATGCTCCGATTAAGATCTAAGACGAGAGAAGGATGCATGTAAATATTGTATCCCTGCTCCATTTCCTTGTTCTTCTATCTTTATCCCCGGCATTGGCATACGCAATGGCGCAAATCCCCAATGCATCCCTGTGAAACCTAACGTTAGTCCATTCTTTCGGCTTGTCAGCTCTGTAAAGTGACGTCAAGTCACAGTTGGAGGGGTTGTTCCGATAAGGCCCGATAACGATCAAAAGTCTATCTTATCGGACCGTTCTGAATGGATGGGCTGATGATCACCCAACAATAATACTTCTGTTTGTTCCGCTAAAGAGGTATTTTATCAGGAACAAAACTTTGACACCGTACGCTTTCTTCTATAGGTGCTATTTTCAACCTCAGTTCTGTTGGAAGTACAGAAAAGATGGCGCCAATTCCCATCACTATCGTTACAGGCTTTCTGGGATCAGGAAAAACGACACTCATTCTCAACCTGATCCCTCAACTTCGCGCTCAGAACCCAGACTATAAGCTTGCGCTTCTCAAGAACGAATTCGGCGATCTCGCAGTCGACTCACAACTCGCGGCCAACTCTGCCATTTCGGGCGTTCAAGAACTTCTCAACGGCTGCATCTGTTGTAACCTCGTCGGTCAACTCGGCCCCGCGCTCGAAGAACTAGACAAGACCGTCACACCCGATCGAATCGTTATTGAAACCAGCGGCTCAGCTTTCCCTGCGACCCTCGCCCTCGAAGTCAACCGCTTGGCGCGCGAGTCTGGGAAATATATCCTCGATGGTGTCATCAGCGTCATTGACGTTGAGAACTGGAAGGGTTATGAGGACACTAGCTACACAGCACGCATCCAAGCGCGCTACACCGATCTCATTGTCTTCAACAAGTGGGAGAATGTCAGCATGCTGCGATACGACGAGTGTCTTGACCGAGTCGGCGATCTGGAAGTAGATGTTGCCAAGGTCAAGAGCGACAAGGGCAAAGTGTCGATGGACTTGATCTTTGGTGTTGATGGTGGATTGGCGAAGGAGTTGACAGAGGCGGATGTTGAAAAGACCAACGGCCACAGCCATGGAGACTCCAATGGCACAACAAACGGCCACTCTCACAACCATCAAAGCGAAGTCGAAGTTCTGTCAGTCGTCCTCAAAGCCGATCCTTCAGCACGAATCTCGACCGAAAAGCTCATCGCCTTCCTCTCCTCAGCCCCCAAAGACGAAGCCTACCGCATCAAGGCCCTCGTCTCACTCTCATCAACACCCACAAACTCCGATCCCGATATCCCCCCACCAGAGCCAAGCGCCTCCGGTCGATATATCCTCAACTGGGCATTTGGCCGCTGGACGTTCACACCTGTTGCGGAATCATTGCAGGAGCATGACTCGAGCAGTGACGTTACATTACGCATGACAATAATTTTCCCGCGATATGAGAGCAACAAGTGGAAGAAAAGAATTGAAGCTGGTGGCTTGATAGAATTAGAAGGTGGAGGTTCAAGCGGATTGACTGTTACTAAAATTCTATAGATTAAGACATAGACATTAAAGATGAGATGGGGTTAGATGAGAGAAGATGTCACGAAGAGATGGAAGAGATGGTTATGAAGAATAGACTCATGATTGGATTGAAAGAACGCTTGTCGCTACTTGACCAGGATATAGAAAAACAAACCCGCTACCTGACATTTTGAATACATACATGATACAATCTTTTACATGAAATCTCTTACAAAACTTCATATCCACCCGGGACCTGGATTGACAGGACTCGGAACGAAATTCACATCAGGCACTGGCGTATTAGTGACTTTGTCGTCGTTGAAGTTTTGCTCATCAAAGTAATAATCCGCCCAGTCATCTTCATAAACATCAGCCTCCGGAGTCTTGGACTTGATCATCCAAGGATCATCAAATGCAGGACTATCATCTGCCTTGGCCCTTGATTCGACCTCTTCTTGGAAGCGCTTGAACACTTCAGGCGTCGAGAGTGCCGACATTGGAGTTGGAGGTACTGAAGGACCCGTCGCTACTGTCTTGACGGTCTCAGCCGGACTGCTGCAATGCGATGTTGGGGAAGCCGGCGGTGAGAGTGAACTTGCTTCGGGATCCGACGTGAGAGAAGCAGAGGGGCGATGAAGTTTGGCGATGCCGTCGAGAGATTGAGGAATCAGCGGAGGGGGACGGTTGTACTTTTTTATAGTTGGTTTATGATAAAGTCGTGAGAAGTTGGGACTGATGTCGACTGGTGTGGCTGTGATGGAGTCATTCTCGCAGCTTGAACAAGTCCCAGACTTCTCGGCGATTCCATTATGACATACACGGCACATCGGGTCTGAAACGCTGTCTTGTCGAACATGAACTTGCGTGGAGGATGCGTGAACGGGATGAGAGTTGAGGGCATCTGCCGTTGGCTTTGAAGGTCGTCGCACAACGACTGTATGAACAGACTGTTTGCGCTTCTGAGAATCTTGCGATGATCGACGAATAGCGACCATCTGAACTGATTGCTTTCGTCTAGGCCATCCTGAAGCTGAAGCATCGCTTGGTCGTGGTGATGAAATTGGTGAGACGCCAGGTGTGGCGTGGTTATCTACTCGTTCGAGTTTGATAGTCTTGGCTTCGCTGATAACCGCAGAAGGCGAAGGTTCTCTCGCAATATTCAAATCATCTACAGCTAAGAGACTTTTTCGAATGTCCACTGAAGGTTCGGGAACTTTCAGGGAATTTTGTGGTGTTGCTATTGCTGTAGACTCAATGGTGTCAACCTTTTCCAACGGACGTGGCTCTTCTTCAGCGGGTGTAAGTGGTCCAAAGGCAGATCGGAACTGTCCATTAAACGGCCCAAACGTTAATCTCAATGGCTGCTGTGCTCGAGGATGCTCTAGCCGTGGTTGTTCCGCTGGTGTCTGTCGTATTCGAGGCTGTTCAATCTGCGGTTGAATTGTCCGAGGTTGTTCTGTTGGTGGTTGCGGTTGTGGTTGAGCAACTCGAGGTAACTCATATTGAGGCGGTCTCAATGCTGAAAGCTCTTCTTGCGCCGGTTCTCGCACAGGAGACAATTGTTTCTGATGCTGAATTTCATGTCGTCGGTGTATTTGCTCCACGAAAGAAGCCTTTCTCATATTAATAAGAGACCTTTTACACTCTTCGTCGCTGGGAATATCGGCCTCAGTGATCCTCCTCGCAGGCCGGTCCGGATAGTGCAACATGGTGAAATCTTTATTGGTTGAAGAGCTTGTTTTTGCTACAGACTCAGAAGCTCTTCTAAAGCCCCGAAAACTCAAGTTTCGGGGCGAGAGCTGGTCCCGCCAGCTGCTCATCTTATCGTCGCTGCTGGAAGTCCAAGAAGGCATCGTGAAGAGGTTGGGCTTGGGGAAGAAGAGTAGAGTAGCCTGACTCGGACCACAATGTCTCAGAGGTCAGGAAAGAGAATTTCTCAGAAAACCTGATTTTAGCAAAATGGATATCCCAGCCCCAGCCTCCGTTATAAGGAAATGTCTCTGGGGTCCCCTTTTTTGACAGAGCTGAGTGGTATCAGGCTGATTGACTGGAATGTAAGTGAGTGATAGACGGGAGGGGTCCTGGGTCTTACAAGACAAGCCCCCCCTCGGAGGATATCTTCAGTGGGTATGGAGCTCTGGGGAACAGAGCGGAACTGAACTGAACTTGGAAGACGGAATAGAGTTTCTCGTGGTAAAGAGAAATGCAAACCTTGTTAGATAGTCTAGTTACCTTAGTATGCGCCTCTTCTTACCTATGGCGGCTCGGAGGCTCCGATGACAACAAGTAGTGTCATTGTGCGGGGGCAGCTCAACCTTTTGGCTTCTGCAGTAACTGAATAGGACACTCCAAGGCGTCAAGGTGGTGTCAGGCACACGGCACAGGGACGGGAAAGGTACGGCTTGGTACAAAGAGGAGAGTTTGTCTCCAAGAATGCAGTTTGGGTAACCAAAAGTGCTTCAACCTAAGAGCACCAACCATTCTCCAAAGACAGGCCGCAAGAGAGCCCGAGCATAAAGACACAAACACACAATGGAAGCTGGAAATAAATTACCTCTCATGATTCTTTCTCAGTGACGACTGACAGAGACTGAGACTGAGAGGTGACATACGGCCACATTGCCCATGATTCATGGCCGCAAGCCACCAAAAAAACGCCTATCCACTACCCGATATATCCAGAACCTCAGAGACCATTCCAGTCAATCTTGCCCCTGAAATTCAAAACCCCGTGCAAGAATTCATGCAAACTATATCGACTCTTTGGTTCAGCAGTTAGTTCCGATTATCTTGTCCCGTTCCTCGGTTCCTGTGCCTGACATGGCCTTTGCAAGGCTGTTCCTGGCTAGTAATCTTTGCCATCCTTTGTTGGTCATGACTCGGCTTACGCCATCTTTTAGAGACTTTGTCGTCGAGTGTGGTAGTATTTCCCTCAGTAGCCTCAATTAGGCCCTCTACATGGGTCATCCATGCTAGCTGTTAATCATGGAAATATTGCGGCTTTGTAATTGATTCATTGTTTGATTAAGCGATCGTCTATAGGTTGACAGTTACTGTCATATTGTTGCTAAGAACCAACAGTGTTGGTGGCAGCTCACTGCACAGAACTTCGACATCAGAGAGATACTGTATAGTAGAAGCTTCATCCAAGCAAGTGCCCTCCGAAGGAATTGGCAGCGTGCTGAGAAGAACCGCAGTATCCTTGGAATGTTGACGCATCAATTCGTTCACAATGAGATGCTGTGCTCTGCTTGGAAGCTCGTTGAAAGAGAGCTCCAATCCCTGCGGTGTGTAACCCGAATTATGACCTTCCTCCTCTAGATGCGAACTTAATCTGTATCTCTCAAGCATTTCAGGAATTTGGTCATAAGATTCGCCCCCTCCTTGTGTAGATCCTCGAGAATTCCGTCGTGAATGGAATCGAGAATGATGCGTTGAGTTTGGCTCGCAGTCAGACTGTTCCGCGAAACTGACTTTTCTGCTCTCTTCGCCGGCCAACACTGGACCGCTAGGCCGGGATCTATTGGGGAATTTGCCTAGCGACGATTGCCGCGAATAACTCGGTCGATACAGTCCGGCCTTTGGAGTCTCAGATTCGGTGCTAGAGGGCGGCGCAAAGCTTATCGTGGACCCCTCTGCTTCCGAGGCCACGATCTTTGTTTCCGGGACCGGGCGGCTGGAGAACTTCACGGCCGAGGATTGCCTGGAAAGATTGGGTCTTCCTGGTGTTGACGCGCCGCTTCGATACGGGCGTACAGTGTCTTCTCGCGTAGGGCTTGGGGGACGCACACGATTGAATGCTGCCGAAGGTCCTGACGAGTCTCGCGAAACAAGAGGGGGAAATTCTGCCGGGGCAGAGTCTGTGCTGCCTTCATATGGTCGTTGGTTCGTCTGTGTTGCTTGTGAATCTGGTGCAACTTGAGAGGCTGATGCTGATGCCGACTGTGATGTTTGGACTCCACCAACACCAACGCCAACTCCCTTTACTGTCGCAGACGATGACATTGTACCGTACGACGTACTTGTTCCGACAGCGTCTCCAACTGTGTCAGACTTGGACCGTCGGCCAAAGCTTTCCCAAAAGTCACCACGCACTCTACCGTCTTCATCATGAGTATCTCCACCCACCAACAACGGTTGGCGAGCTGCATCACTCGGGCCGATGTTTCTTTCGTCAATCGACTCATGGTCTAGTATAGAACCGTACCCCATTTCCTCGTCATCGAGAAGTTCTGCTTGCGAGTCTTCTGCCTCGTCATCATCGTTATCTGTTTCATCTAATGCACCGTCTGGGAGGTGGTGTGTGTGAATCCCCATACTAACACCCATCTTTGAAAGCATCCGAATAGCCGGCCGTCTTGGTAGTTCGGGAACATCCGTCGTGCTAGCACGTCGACGATCGTATATCTCCTCATGAGGGTTATACAAACCGGGTCTCCCAGATATCGTATCATATATGTGCTCCAGCTGATCCAGCTCCTGAGTAGAAGTCATGTTGTCTGAACGGCCTCGGAACATCTGAACATCATCCCACCACTCTTCGTTGCGGAGTGTATCGTTGACGACAATTTCCCAATCGATGTCGTTACCTATTCCATTCACGATGAGATCGTAAGTATTTAGACTGCCTGATGTCAAGCAAAATACTTTGACCTCTGCGTCAATTCTTAATTTTTCAAGAAGTGCCAGAACTCGAGCATGCTCTTCGCTGACCTCACTCTCGTATTCCACAAATACCATGACCCGAAGCGTATAAACATGCTTCCAGAGTTGTACACTGTGAAGAATATGTCCGAGCTGCAAAATGAGGGTGTCTACTAATATTAGCTTGTGCCCTGTTCACAAGAGATTCTCCTTACATGTATCAAAGTTGGTGGTCAGCAAACTCTTTCCGTCAGAAGTAACCTCGGCCGACATCTGGATAGGCCACAGGTCGATGTACTTTTTGGTGTTGGTTCCGTCCTTTCTTGGTGTCTCAAGTGATTCAAAGCCACACCCCACTGCGATGTTAAGTCGATATCGCAAGGCAAGGTCCTCTAGTATAGTCAAATACTCTGTTGGAGACATCATATTCTCGGTACGAATAACATCGGTTGGGAGGATGCCCTCCATGAGCCTTGCCGATGTGTCACCCCGTCGCCTCCGAGGCCTTTCGGGAGCTTTGCCATTTGATCTAGGGGGCCGTCGCATTTGGGTTGAGAAAGATACGGGAACATCAGGTACACGTAGCTTCGGATTCGATTTTCGCAGTTCCTCCATGTTGTAAAATCCAAGCACAGCAATGTTGGGACGCATTCCACCAAGGCCGGCTGATAGTATCAGATTGCGGATACCCCAAGTGATAGTGGGGGACATTGTTAGCTGCACAAAAGCCTTGATCTTGGAGAACTCATTAATGTATTTTGTCCAAGCATGTTGCTGAAGCCGAGCTTCATGAACCCCTGAGTTGAAGTCGTCGGTCACGATGACATGGCCAAGGATGTAAAGCGACCCCTTTTTGAGTGAGTTACAAAATTGGATTAACCTGGTCTGTCTGCGAGGGTTATTGATAAGTAGTATGATATGCGGTCTCCAGAACTTGATGTGCTCTGGTCTCAGGCGTAGTAAATACTTCCTTACTTGATGATAGATCAAGTTTTGGCTGACGTCACCCCAGTGTTTAGGAGGGCTGAGGTAATGAATGAGCAGGAATAGCAACACAAGCACTGTGATAGCAATAGCAGCATAAGTCTCATCGATGAAGAACATAGCAAAACCTGACAGGATACCGGCAAGGAAAGCAGTTTGCCAGGTGAAGAACTTGAAGCTTGGTCTGAAGTTAGGGGCTGACCCGACTTTGAGAAGGAAGCAAGCTAAATTCATGACGAAGAAAGTCATCTGGTATCCCATGGAGATGAAGGTAGCGATCTGGTTAAGATCAGCGAAGAGCGCCAGTTGTGCAATGACATAAGTCAGAAGCAAAGCATAAATCGGTTCGTCGCCATGTTTCGTGCCCTTGCTGAAGAAACCAAGGCCTGGAAGAAGCTTATCCCTTGCAAAAGCTTGGAACAGCTTGGAGGCACCGATCAGGCCCATGAGAGCAGAGAAGAAGGTGACTGCACATTCACCAGCGAGAATGACAGGTTGGGAGAGGTTGACGAGTGGGATGACATTGTCGTTGGCCAAGAAAGATGTGTGAGTTGTGCTCGCAGCCAGTGAAAGGATTACGACAAAGTAAATGATAAAGGTTGTCAACATTGCCCAGAGCGTTCCATGAGGGATCGATCTGCTAGGGTCTTTTAGGTCTCCAGACATGGATGCACCCGCGAAAATCCCTGAGGTAGCACTGTTTTATTGTCAGTACGAGCTTGCCATGCACAGGTTAAACATCAGGGTCGTACGGAAAGAGAATGCCAAACAGATCACGAAACGTTTCAAGGCCTTTGAATTGAGGGCCGCTGTGAGGAAGGAAGTTGTCGGTCAAGGTATCAAGACTGGGTCCAGTGAAATGAATACCGAGATCCCTATCATGGAAGGGAGCCTTGAAGATAGCAGAGACCGGGATGCTGACAATGGCCAAGCTCAGGATGGCAAGCAGAGCATTGGATGCTCTCGAAAAAGTCGCAGATCCCAAGAAACAAAGACCAGTACAAAGGAGCAGGGCAGCGGTTTGGAGGCCATAGCCAGTCCAGTAACCTGAGGGAAAAGCCGCGCCCAGATTTAGTCTAACACAGTCAATAAGACCAACAACGTTCATGCTTGCATTGAGAACTTGAGCAAGATAGAAGAGGATTCCGATAGAACCGCCAAACTCGGGTCCCAGAGACCGTGAGATGAGGTAGTATGCACCACCGCCCTTGACTTCGCCATTGGACGCGATAGCTGATAGAGAAAGCGTCGTCAATAAGTCAATGGAGTATGCCGTAACAAGAAGTCCTGTAGTCTTTGTTAAGATTTATGAAGGCCTCATAGGTGATAAAAACTTACCGAGAATGCCCATGAACCCGATTTTCCCAATAATTTGGCCGAATCGCAAAAACATGAGAATACTCATGATATTGAGAAAAACAGGGATGTAGACACCCGAGATGCTGCCCAACTTGTTGTGCCGTGGCTCCATGGTGACTGATACCGATCCTCGTCCGCCATGGGACTCGGTTATGCTATTTCGTTGTCGTTCTCCCCCATTGTCAACTCCCTTAATATCTGACTGTTGAGGTGTTGTCATGATGCAGTCCAAGAGAGCAAGTCGGGCATTCGGTCAGTCCAGCCAGACGAGGGGTCAGTAGTAGCGAGCACTGGCCCACATGAGCAAGTATGAGACGGTGAAGAACCGCAGCGGAACAAAGCACAGAAGGATGAGGCTTTTGAAAGAGGGGAGAGGCCTGAGAAATAATGATGCTATGGTGTATTCTATTGTTCAAGGGCCACTTAGCAATTGGGTAATCAGTCGTCAATCCTATGCTTGCCAAGAGAATTCCAAGCTGAAGCCTCCCGCGTGTTGCATATTGGGTGTGGTTAGTGTGGTGATGAGTGGATAATACGAGGGCAGTATTCGGCAATCCGGGCAAAAACGTCCATGATGGTTTGGAGATCATCACCAATCAAGGACGCCACAATAACCTCAAGGGAGGCATACTTGGGCCTCCATCGTAGTTACAGCAGGAAAGGCATGGAAGCTTAGAGGAACTAGGCGGGTCAGCAGGGGACCATGGTGCTGATGTTTGGTGTTTGAGGTGGTTTCAAGGGTCCCCGGGTGCTGGAGATTCCCCGCTAAAAAGTCCATTTCAGCGGTTAGAGGCTAGTAGAGAGGCCAGTAAAGTCCAGTAGTGTTGCTCAGACCTATCTCTTCAGTACTCAAGATATCACAGTGATAGTCGTCTTTATGACTCCGTCTGTGGGGAAGTCGGATCATGTGCAGAGTTGACATAGAGTAGCTGGCGTGGCTTGTTATTACTAGAGCTCATGGTGAACCACAAGGTGCAGCTTCGTATCGCGATGGGCGCTGTAGGTGCTACCAAATGACGTAGGCCATGCCGGAGGAAATCCACTCTGATATTCAAGCTTCTGTCGGTGCTTTTGTTGCCGAGGTTTTGAACGCTATGTTCAGAGAGAAAGGCGAGACTCGATGTTAGTAAAACACAAAAATACAGGCAAGAGATCGAGATCTCTGATGTGAGATATAGGAATATCTATTCACATGTCGACATGCGCCTCATTCATCTGACTCGACTTTGAAGGGTCGTGACGCCCCCACGGAGCGTGACAACATAAACGTGCCCGCTTCATCGCACCAAGTGACGGGTAATGTACATCGATTATTGTTGTGGGGCCGCACAGCCAAGATTGAATAGATTCTTGTAGAGTTGCTATAATTCGAGGTCATAGTATAGCGTATCCAGAGACGTATCTTCACTATAGATACTTGGAGTAGAGAACAACTGGTGTTAGAACAGTTAGATTACCTATTAGTGATATATACATTGTGCCGCAATAAAGCATATGCGGATAAGAGATCAACACTCGTAAACAAATCCTTCTGAAACGTTACTCATCAACGTCCCAAGGTATTTGACTCGGCCATTACGACCCCAATTTGGCAGGTACAACCCTAGAGATAAGGTTGCAGGCCAACGGTTGGATTTCTTTTCAAAGCATTTTACTTGCCGATGTCCATTGGCTCCAGACGAGTCCATAAGAATACTCGACGACAGACGTGGAAGTCATGATATGATATTCATCTCAAGCTCGGAATGAGTTACTAGAAACTTATCGCAGCCTATAAGCTGACTTGGTTTTCACACACTTTGCCATTTTATTTACATGTCAATATAAATGATATACAAGGCACCTCTCCATATAGTAACCATTATTATTGCTAAGTATTGGCCTTTGCAACGCGTGGAGTCTTCAACCAATACCTCCACTATTAGCCTAGCTTGGCTCGGCAGCTGCCCTTACTCAGTAGTCACCAGACCCCAGAGAACTAGGCCTTCCCTGCGTCTGAGCTTCACCGTTCAGGGCAACTACCAGCCTGGGCATAGGCAGTTTGCAGCTTGGAGCCTGTAGCCTTAGCCTGTATGTTACGGCTTGGCTAAGCCCTTATCTCACGCTTCCTCTTCACTCCAACAAGAAATTCCCATACCTCTCAATTGACTCTATCACCCGACCAAGCGTGACATCTTCATATAACCTTTGTTCCCGAGACTGTTTTTGGTCATCATTCTTTGTCGTCATTCTTTTTGTTGACTTCTTTGGTTCTTCACCCGTCTTATCAGTGTTGCTAGGCATCCCGCCAGTCATCTGCCTGCTGCGTCATTACCGCTGTTCGCGACTCAAAACTGTTGTCAACTCCGCTCAGACTATGCGATAAGGCTTCTCACACCTTCAATCGAACTAAAAAATGGCTTCTCCTTCGAGAATCCCATCTGAACAGCCTCCTAGGTCTGCTTCGCCTTCGAGCTTCCGACCTCGATCGATTTCCGCTTCGGTCCCTCGAGCTGATTTGACAGCGCGTCTTGCTTCTCCCATCCCGTCACAACTTGGCACTACACCTTCCAGAGGAGGCTCGCCACGACCCGATGCAGCTCCGCGTGCCGAGAATCTCGAGGACTTGAGTCAGTTGCCTGGAAGCGGCGCCAGCGCCCAAGGCCCTGGTGTATCTGCTCTTGCTGCTGCCCTTTCCAACTCTCTAGGCCAGTCTCCTCCGCGACATGGTACTCCTGCAGCTCGCGTTGCTACTCCTCCCGTTCGCTCACAGTCTCCTCTGCTCGGCGGTCGAAACTCGGGGACACCGACCAACTATGGCTCTTTCAATTCACGGTCACAAAATGCGCTGGGCACCAGTGCACCTTACGAAGATCCCGAGATTGTCAAGCGCCATCTAGTTCAACCCTCGGATGAGAATCCTGGCTCAGAAGAGTCATCGATTCAAGGTAATTCAAAGGGCAAGCAGCCGGCCGAAATCGGCGGTGCGGGCCTGGGCGAGGACGAGTTCTCCAGCTTGAGGTTACAGGGAGGTGATGTGACTCGGGGTATCTACAAGTGGACCGAACAGGCAGAAGCGAGAGCAAAGTACAACCGCAGCAAGAGTTTCGATTTGGGACGACCCGAGCCCGAAGCGGAGGTACTTGACATCAACTCGATAAAGGTGCCCGGTGGCTTCCGAAGAAACCATCTCCGTCGTAACGTCCAAAGTCCTGGTCCTCAAGGTCATCTTGAGGACGGCCACGCCTCTCCTGCATCGGGCCAGCAGAGATTGTTCACCTCAAGCTTCCTCGAATTCTTGACGATTTATGGCCACTTTGCTGGTGAGGAACTGGAGGAGGATGACGAAGATTTAGGACCGAACGAGTACTTCTCATCCGGAGAAGACACAGACGAGTACAACTCCGACGACGAGCGGGAGCCCATGGAGGATAGTGCCTTGTTGACCCCTTCAAGACGCAGACGCAAGCGCAAGGTCCGCGGTGGCACCGGAAACAATAGTCCCATGAACGCGGCGTTGCTTCTTCTCAAGTCTTTTGTCGGTACCGGTGTTCTCTTCCTTCCTCGAGCGTATCTCAACGGAGGTATGCTCTTCAGCAACCTGATTCTCTTTGGCGTTGCCGCTCTGAGCTATTACTGCTTTGTACTTCTCGTACAAACACAGCTCAAGATTGGAGGCTCTTTTGGAGATTTGGGTGGTGCACTTTACGGAAAGCATATGCGTACCCTCATTTTGGCTTCTATTGTCATCAGCCAGATTGGTTTCGTTGCCGCTTATACCGTGTTCACTGCCGCCAACTTGCAGGCCTTCGTCAGGGCTGTTTCCGACTGCAAGTCCTCGATCAGTATCCAGTGGCTCATTCTTATCCAGATGCTCATCTTCCTGCCTTTTGCTCTTCTCCGAGATATCGGAAAGCTGGGATTCACTGCTCTGGTTGCGGATGCCTTCATTTTGATTGGTCTGGCTTACCTCCTGTACTACGATATTCTAACTCTCAACGAGAACGGTATTGCCGATATCATCATGTTCAACAAGAAGGACTGGACTTTGTTCATCGGAACTGCGATTTTCACGTTCGAAGGCATTGGTCTCATCATTCCCGTTCAGGAGTCGATGAGACACCCTCAAAAGTTTCCTCGGGTTCTGCTTATTGTTATGATTATTATCACAGTCCTCTTCATTGGCATGGGTGCCATCTCTTATGCCGCCTACGGTTCTCACACCGAAACTGTTGTCTTGCTCAACTTGCCTCAGGACAACAAGATGGTCAATGGAGTTCAGTTCTTATACTCTGTTGCCATTCTGCTTTCTACACCATTGCAGATCTTCCCTGCCATTCGTATCGCTGAGACAGAGCTTTTCACTCGCAGTGGCAAGTATAATCCTTGGGTCAAGTGGCAGAAGAACGTTTTCCGTTTCTTCGTGGTGATGCTTTGTGCGGCCATTGCTTGGCTTGGAGCCGATCATCTGGACAAGTTTGTTGCTCTTGTTGGTAACTTTGCCTGCATTCCACTTGTCTTTATCTATCCTGTAAGTTAAAAGTGATCGAAAGTTTTGATGTGCAATGCTGACTGTTCTTCTAGCCTATGCTTCATTATAAGGCAATTGCCCGTACGAAGTTCTGGAAGGTGGCCGATATCCTACTCTGTATCTTTGGATTCATCGCAATGGCATACGCAACCACACTTACTGCGATGAGTTGGGCCACTGCGGAACCTAAGCATCCGGGATACTGTGATGAGAAGGGAACAATGGTTGGCTTCTGAGTCTTTGACTCATGTATAGTTGGTGTATAGGTGTGAGTATGGGTTCGAGAGGTTTGAGGGCCACAAGGCTTGCTATACCCGCGGTTTAGTTGAGGATCCATTGCATATTGTAGCTTGCATTGTGGTGTTATGTTATTGGATAGATTGTATGTAGCATTTGGAAATGGGTGATGGGAGTTGAAGGGTTTTAGCCGGTTCAGTTTCGAGTTTCATTATACATCGTGTAAGACAGCGTATTCAACTAGATTTCTTTACAGTCTCGTGATTTCGTGGTTTCGTTGATATTTGCAATTGTCTATCAATGATGATTTGGCTTCAACACGTGGGGGGCCGACTCAATCGGAAAGTGGGGGATTTTATATCAATCTCGGAGACCGAGGTGAAAATGAGGATGTATGTCTATCGCAAAACCCCGGGCCGTGATATTCGGTTTATTGGAGGTCTCGCCAGGATAAAAGCGACTTTTCGTTCAAAAGCCACAACTGTAATCTCACGTATTCTACTATGTCTCTCCGGCCGTCAATTCAATTGACAAGACGCTGTCTCTTCAGCTTATCATCAACACCCAGGCGAACTTTTGCTCAACAGACACGGCAAACTCGACCTCCGCCTCCTCCGCCATTTCAAACTGTCGCAACATGTCCGGAGCCGACATGCGGATGCGCGGCAACTCCTACTATGCCAGAGGATCTCCCTCTGGACCGTGAAGGGCCTCTGAAAGGCGCAATTGCTGGGTATGCAGAGCACGTACTAGTGTGTACAGGAAATGCAGATTGGCCATCGAGAATAGAGGATGATAACGGCGGTGATTGCCTCGCTGCGGATCTTAAAGAGTTGTTTGGGCGTGGAGGGACTTATAGTGATGTTGGTGCTCTCTTGTTGTATGTGGATTATCTTGCTGATTATTGTAGCCTTTTCATAATATTTCTGTTCTCAACTCGTCATTTCCGAGCTCTGTTTCACCACGGCCTGAAGTTCAGACAACATCGGTGTATTTGGTTCCAAGTTTCAAATACGTCCCTTTTCTACCGCGGATATCATTTGATAGTGTAGAAGCACTGGCTAAGGGGTTTCTGCTCCCTAAGAAGCTTCACCCTGCACATGAAGGTCTCTCACCTATACATCGGGATCGCTTGACCCGCAAAGAGGGCTACCAAGGATTACTACCTGGCGTTCAAGATGTTCGCGATGTTTTGGTCTTGATTTGTGGACATACAGGACGCGACGCGAGATGCGGCATCATGGCACCTGTTCTACGAACTGAGTTTGAGGACAAGTTGGAAATGGAGGGTTTTGACGTCTTGCATGGACCCGTGCAAATTAATCTCAACGATAAACAAAGGATACAGGGAGAAACTGGCGAAGGAAAGACTACAGCTAGAGTTGGTTTGATCAGTCATATCGGAGGTCACAAGTTTGCAGGCAACGTTATCATTTATCTGCCTCCAAACTTGAAGATGGGCGATGAACCGCATCCTTTGGCGGGATGTGGAATCTGGTATGGAAGAGTTGATCCAAAGAACGTGGAGGGTATTGTAAAAGAGACTATTCTCAAGGGAAATGTGGTTGCGGATATGTTTAGAGGAGGGATTGATGCTGAGCATAAGATGTTGAGGATGTAAGATATATGTATTGATAGATGGTTAGCGATACCCCAGGGTCAAGACACATGGACAAAAGCTCTCCAATAGAAATATTCATTATGTATATCATTACCACGCGCTATGTATTTGCGAGTTGTATTCGATCATGACGACGATTTGTACATGTTGAGGCGATTCAAGTGATCCACGTGACCTTGATCTAGTGATTCCAGCTTCAATTTTTGGTGACCATCATCTCAAGGAACTCCTGAAGATACTGAAAACGACTCGACCACAAAGATCAACTCGAAAGTCTGAGCACATACGCCTTGTTTAGTCTGTTCTGACCTCAGATGGTCTCATTCTGGACATAAAAGCTCAATAAAATAACTGAAAACCTCCGAGATCAAAATTGAGCACTCACCACCAACATGATGAGAGCCACGAGGATATTTACAGGTTCATTGCGACCTACCACCCAGAATCGACGACTTCTCACACAATGTGGTCAATTGCAAAGCCGTGTATCAGTAGCTAAGACACAGCCTCCAAGAATCTCATCACGAAGCCTCTCAACCTCATCACCACTACGGCAACACGCTTCTCAAAAACCATACTTTTCCACCCCTCTTCAAGCACGAATCTTCCCCTCTCTTATAGTTGTCGGTATAATTCTTGTCGGTGGCGGTTACTATCTTCTCACGCCGCCGTCTCGACCCAACACTCTCAACGAGATAGCCTTTGTCCCCTACGGCATCACAGCTCGCGAGGCCATCTCACCAACCTCATTCGTCATTACCGCAGTCCCACGCACACCGAACCCTTCTCTACCATACTTGAACGCCTCAAATAACCGCTGGAGCTATCCTCTTTGGTCTGTGGAGTTCAAGCAACCTGAGGTGCAAATCTCTCGGCATTATACGCCTCTTCCTCCACTGTCCACGGAGGATCCTACAGATGGCTCGCTACGATTTTATATCCGTACTGTTGACGATGGTGAAATGTCGAACTATCTAGGTCGAAGACAGGTCGGAGAAGATGTTTTTCTGCGTGGTCCACACGTTGGCTTTGAACTAGCTGAGCGATTGGGTGAGCACTCTCGTCTTGTCTTTCTTGCAGGCGGTACAGGTGTAGTATCTGGTATGCAAGCAGCGAAGGCTGTCTTGGAAGCAAACGAAAAGTCAAGTGTTGACCTTCTCTGGGCCGTGAGGAAGAGAGAAGAGGTTCAAAACAGTGCTCCTCCTCGGCATCCATCGTGGAAGTTTTGGCAGGAAAAGAAGCCCACTACATTAGGCGCTGAGGTCGAGAGCCCGAGCCCCGTCACGAAGCGTTTGCAAGACCTCAAGATGACCTATGGTGATCGCCTAAGGATTCAGGTCGTTGTTGACGAGGAGGGAACTCGCTTCCAGGATAAGGATATTAGCAATGCTATCGCAGCATCGCCTGGAGCCGTTGCTTCATTTAATGCAGGCTGTCGATTCCACGATCAAGCAATGCATGTCCATGCCTCCGAATTCGCTCTCCCTGAAGGTCCTGGCTGTGTGTGCAAGCCTTCTGAATGCACCACCCCCGGGAAGAACTTGTTTATTGTCTCTGGTCCCGACGGTTTCATTGAGTACTATGCCGGACCCAAGATATGGTTAGGTGGCCAGCAGACTCAAGGCCCGATATCTGGAGTAGCTGGCTATCTGCAGAGACAGAACCCTACCCTGGCAAGAGATTGGTTGGTCCTCAAGATGTAAAATCACTGTAAAAGACGGCATTATATAATGTATTGTAGTTCAAAGCACTCATAAAGAGGCGTAGACATCATCTATTGGATACAAATAAAACATAATACTAGTAACAACAATGGTGCCTTCTACGTGATAACCCAACGCCAACAGTAAACTCCAAACCCATGACATGTTACTTTAGTGACTCTGAACCTTCCTATACGACGGAGGCTTCATTGTCCTCCTAATCAACTTGCCCGCGTATGGCGGGATCAGTGAAATAGCACCAATAGCTAGGACACGCCAGACGAATCCCCTGAACAGATGTGAGTAACTGTGATTGATTAAGTGAAGGATAACTTACCATGTTATCAAGAACCGAAGGTCAAAGTATCCGCCCAAGAAAGGTATGGAACCGATATACAAGAGGAAAGTGCCGATAATACTAATGATCATGATAGGATGCCATGTAGTGATCTCAATGGCCACCATGAGAAGTTCGTTGAGCACGAGAACGGTATAACTGACAGCAACCATCTTAGGCCCGTCGACTTCAGTAAGAATCTGTGACAAGCCCTGAATCATACCGCCTTGGTAGATGGACACAAAGACCCAGACGAAGAAAGTTCTGTATGAAAGTGATCGGCCAGAAGTGAGTTCCTTGTAGAGCTCGGGGTAAAGGTTAGCAAGGTTCTCATCCACGTCCTTGTCTAACACAAGTGATAACACAGGGGCTGCAGTATACACAGTAGCATAGCCGACAAGCAACCAATCCTACAATCGTCAGTTGTCATGAACGGAGAAAACAAGTACACGACTTACCTTGTACAGACCCTCAGGCTCAAACTTGATAGCAATACTATACATAGTCTGGCACACAGCAATGATCAAACCACGGTGAATAACAAACTGCGCGAGCTTAGCACTTCGCTTGTAACTGTTACGACCGTGCCAGACCAATAGCTTGACCAGATGACAGAACTGCTCGATAGAAAAGTCGGCCGCCAAACTAGCCTGTCGACCTTCCTTTCCAACAATACCAACACCAACATCAGCAGCTTGAATCATTGAGACATCATTGCCACCATCGCCGATACAGCACACGCGTTTTTTAGTGTACTCGCGGATGAGTTTGGCGACTTCGGCTTTCTGGTTAGGCGAACAACGGCAAGCAACAACGGTGGGCAGCTGGACGGCGATGGAGATGAACTCAAGGCGAAAGTGTGTCAGCAAGAGAGCCAGACTTTCGCCATCTACCAGGAGACAAGCGTCTGTCTTGCTTCGGAGAAAGTCAAGATGTTCTTGGGCGTTATCCTTCTTCTTGAGCTTGGAAACTGTATAGATGTACTGACCGCGAGCCACCAGTTTGGAGCTGACGGCAACACATCTTGCAGTCTCGACCTTGTCACCAGTCAACATCCAAATCTTGATGCCGGCATTGCGGAGGAGTTCCAGAGAGGGTTTGACGTCCTTCTGCAGCTTATCTTCAACACCAGTCACGCCGATTAGTTCCAGATCATGTTCCAGGTAGTGAGAGACCACCCGCTGCATGCCAGCATCACGTCCACTAATTGAAAGCGAGGCTTCTTGATAGCGAGCCGAGAATTCCTTGTACTGATCGTGTGAGAGCTTCTTGCGGCCAACGACCAGCGTACGTAAGCCTTCACGCGCCATATTGGCGGTCTCCTCGTCGAGCCAATCATTCGCCGCAACGATGGAGCTCATGACTGTATCAGCACCCTTCTGGAAGAACCAGATTTCACCAGTAGAGAGACTCGGATTTTTCACCTTGATGTCTTCGTGGAAGTGAACGATGATACCCATTCGCTTGCCTTCGGAAGTGAAAGGGAAAACGTCAAGGATTCGCACGCGAACTACCGGTCTCTTACTGTTTGTGTATTCCAATACCATACTCTTGCGGTCTCGGTACACAAGTCTCAAACCGACTGATTCTGTCCATTTGACAATGGCAATTTCATCAGGAGAGGATGCTTGGTATCCAGTAACCTCTTTGCCATCCTCAATGTCAACAGTAGGTGTAACATTATGACAAAGGGCAAGTGCCAGAACTACATCTCGAACTCGAGTGCCAATCTCGCGTCTTGTACGTGTCGTACCCATAGTCGTAGTGCTGGAGTACGTGGATGATGGAGTAATAAGCATGTTCTGGGACGCAACATCCGCTGATGGTGGGATATAGAAGCCTTGTTTGACATACGTTGACACTTCATCCATTGCCTCGTTGGCATAAGACACAGTACCAACGTGAATCTTCTTCATTTCCATCTCATTCTGGGTCAATGTACCAGTCTTGTCACTGAGTAGGTATTCAATTCGGCCGAGATCTTCAGGTATAGTACTTGTTCGAACGACTGCTCCAGGCATGCCAGGATCGCGTTGGATAAACCAGGAATATGCGCTCTTGCCCATGTCCAAGTTCACGCGCAGACTGATGGGGACAATGGTAGAGAACAAAACCAAGAATCGCATGATCTTAACGTACCACACGTTGTCTTTGGTGTTTCCGAAACCCTCGAGTGCAACAAGAATGATGGAAAGAGCCAATGTCAATGCGCACAAGATCTTGGTCAAAGAGTTGATCTCATATTCGAGCAGGCCGGTCTTGGAACGGGAGGGAGCTGTCGATAGAGCAGATCGCGTCTGAGGACCTGTGTACATGATGACCGCCAGTGTCGTGGCTTGCGAGGCGATAACAGTATTGGCCCATGCTGTGTTATCTATTGACAGAGCAGCCGTGTGGGAAGCGTCAGAGGCTTGTACTGTCGCATGGTGCACCAATGCATCCTTTCGAGATTCGACCAGTTCGATTGTGCCCAGAAACTCGTTGACCTTCCTGTCCGGCTTTCCGCCGGTGACGCGCAGACGAACGAACTCCTCGGTTGGTAGATTTTGTGTAAGCGGTGAAGCAAGTCTGAGCTTCCAATCCGTCTCACCATCTAACTGATCGGTCCTGATAAAAGTCTCACCTCCTGGTCCGCTTTCAGCCTCTTGCTCTGGTGCCGCTTCTGCGGGTTGTTTCCCCTTTGCTTGAGACTCTTCACCGTCGAACGCCAACAAGGTTTCCTCCTCTGCTGGTTCTTCGGGAATCGATGCAGGGGCTGGTGCCTCGGAAGTGAAGCATTTTAATATGACAACATCTGCAGGTACACGTTGACCCTTTGTAAGTTTGAGAACATCGCCAACTTTCAAGTCTTTTGACTTGCGGCTGACTTCGACGACTCGTGAGGATGGCGGGGGTGCCTCAACGTCCTCTTCCTCCAGAATGTCTGACAAATTCTCTCGAGCCCCCTTTGACTTCTTCCTAGAGTGTTTCTGTAACACTTCAGACTTGAGCAGTTTTCGTTGGCGTACAGGGGCATGGGTGGAGTCGGCATCCTGAAAAACCAGAATGTTGTACTCTTCTGAATTCGCTTCAGTGTCTCTTCGCCGTCTGGCAATATCATCGAATGCCTCTTTTCCCATGGTAATACAGAGTACAAACGCCAACGGTGCAATGTACGTTAACAAGTAGCCGATTCTCAGGGCGGGTATCGCCTGCGACAGTGCCACGAGAAGGAAGTACATATTGAAGAAGAATGAGAATTCGTTATAGAGGGTGATGGGGAGGAATGTCAAGGCTGTGTACTTGGCGTTTGAGATGATGTTGTTCGGAAATCGTACAGGTTGAGTCGAGCCTACGGCCACATGTCGAGAGGAGGATGGGTCGTCGTCTTCTTGGTCCTCCGCATCGCTCGGTTCTGGTTTCTTTGACCCCGACATGAAGCTAGGGAGTCGTAACCGTGAAGATACTCGATCCGAATTCATAGACTTCCGGCGTTGCGAAGGCTGGCCCCCTAGCAGTGGCTGATCGTCCTCATTGTAACCACTTCCTTCCGACCATCGCGACGCACTGCTGTTATGTTCCCCTAACAATGCCTGCGAATGTTCGTCGTTTCCATCTCTATCCTGGCCGAGGTCGCCATACCCGCGATTCCTCTTTCCAGCTCGCCGCACTCCACCCATGCGCAAATTTCGCAGCGCTATCCGCGATGTCTGTGGCTCGGTTGAAGGGCGCTCGTTGTCCCTTGGAGCTGGAGTAGTTGATATTGGGTCGAGCTCCTGGATATCTAGATCAAGATCGGAGTCGGAGTCATTCGCGGGGGAATCGGGTGGGTCGGAAGCTCGATATCTTGGTGAGGACGGCATCCCTGGCTAAACTCCTGACGGTGAGGAGGAATAGAAAAGGTGCTGTGTTAAAGGTGAAGAACTGAGGATGGGAGCTAGCGGTGCTGCTCAGACATGCTGTGGCGGTGATGTCAGACGTTTACGATTTGTTTTGTAGTCGTACTTTTCTAATTGTAAGACTTTCCTCCCTCGTGTTTCTTGTTGGAGAATTCGGTGTTCGTCTTTGTTCTTTTGGTTGTATATCGTTGGAGGCCGTCGAATCCTTAGGAGCTCTTATCTGTGTCGCATTTCAGGGTCGAAGTCGCAAAGGGATCTACGCGTTTAATGTCCGTCCGGCGAACTCGTTGTTGATGAATGCGGGCAACGATTGTAAAGGAATCGAATTGTGTTTCGTTTGGTGCACTTGACGTTTGTTGAGAAATGGTGACTCGTGTCTTTGCTCACAAGGGGACAGATCATTTCAAGACTACGTGCTGCATCATTTGTATTGTCGCAGCCTACGCTATTGCCAAGCGTCTTTTGGGGGGCGTTACATTTAAAAGTGTCCCGCTGCCGTTTAAAGAGCCCGGTTCTCATAAATACCTCCATTACCACTGTAAGTTAGCTATGTTTCAGGTATTTCACAGGTAGCTTAGTGGGGCGTGGCGGTAGCTGTCCCTGACAGATTACGTGGAGGTTGCATGCTTACCCTGAACGACCTCGGGAAATCTGTAGTTTACACCAACATGAGGATACGTTTGATTTCCAATACTATCAGGCAGATAGATATTTGAACCGTACGTTTACGTCACAAGTGTACGTATGTACTTTGAATTCTATGTGAGGTAGCTTAGACTAGTTTTCATTCATTCAAAAACCCAGGGGTTTTTATTCAGCCCTCTCATGAACAGTGAGCCTCATCATGAGAACCATCCACGCAACCCACGTGGTTATTCATGGTATGGGTCAGATGGTTGAAGGAAAGGAGACAAATTATTAAGCTTAATAACTTTCATAAAACTTATCGAAGCTGATGTTTTGAAATAAGCTTTATATCGTCTGTTTCATAAGCGCATTATGATCATTTTCACCGTAGGAAATGCATATTTCAGCATTTTCTTGGGTATGTTATCTCCATTAACTTCATATCTGCCAGTACCGTTTCATGCTACTGTTTCAAAAACCAAGAAATATTTCAGAGACACTAAGCCTTACCTATAATAAGCCGTTGGAGCTTTAAAACTGGTTTCCTATTTGTTGATATAAGTGTCTGTATGGTATAAGTAAGCTAGCATAGAAAACGAAAACATATAGTTATGTTATCTAAGGGTGAGAATAAGTTAAAACATTACTTAACACAATAAGGCACTTGTAATCTTTTATAAGTTCTAATGCATAATTTATATAAGGAAATTTCATAAGCTACCTTAAGGTAAGTATAAAATAGGAAATGGTTCATATGTAGTATCACAACGTAAACCAATTATCAACTACAGGGTAGGCTTCTTATTCAGTACGCACGTGACCGTCATAGCGCCTGAACGCGCCTGGCATCCTGGATGGAGAGCAGCTCGTTGGCTCAGCTTCAGTCGCAAATATTTAGAAGCTTCTGCGACAGCAAAAACAACCATCAACTCGATCATCACATCACGAATTGCCCCACTGCACGAATCGAACTCTCGCGCCGATAAAACCGTCATCGCAAATAATAACTGTCGACATATTCGACACCCGCCGACACCATGGTCCAGATCAGCGAGGTGAAGGGTAACAAGCGAGACAATCGCACAGCCGCCCATACTCATATCAAGGGCTTGGGCTTGAAACCAGATGGATACGCAGAAAAGCAAGCGGCCGGATTTGTCGGCCAAGTCGGCGCGCGTGAGGTAAGGACCGATTGAATCAAATATTGACTTACGAATACTTAATCGTTTGCTAGTCCTGCGGCGTTGTGGTGGACTTGATTCGGGCTCAGAAGATGGCTGGCCGAGGTGTTCTGTTGGCAGGAGGACCTGGAACTGGAAAGACCGCTCTCGCGCTCGCGATCAGTCAAGAATTGGGAACCAAGATTCCTTTTTGCCCCATTGTTGGCAGCGAAATCTACTCCACCGAAGTCAAGAAGACCGAGATGCTGATGGAGAACTTCCGAAGAGCCATTGGCCTCAAGGTCCGAGAGACGAAGGAGGTGTACGAAGGAGAGGTTACAGAACTCACACCTGAGGAGGCCGAGAACCCATTAGGCGGCTACGGCAAGACCATCAGCACACTCTTGATTGGACTCAAGAGCGCGAAGGGACAGAAGAAGCTCCGCCTCGACCCAAGTATCTACGAGGCAATCCAGAAGGAGAGGGTTACGGTCGGCGACGTGATCTATATCGAAGCGAACACGGGTGCCTGCAAACGCGTTGGCCGATCAGACGCCTACGCCACGGAATTCGACCTGGAGGCGGAGGAGTACGTACCTATCCCCAAGGGTGAGGTACACAAGAAGAAGGAGATCGTGCAAGACGTTACGCTACACGACCTCGATGTGGCCAATGCCCGTCCTCAAGGCGGCCAGGATATTATGAGCATGATGGGCCAGCTGATGAAGCCCAAGATGACGGAGATTACAGACAAACTTCGTGGAGAGATCAACAAAGTGGTCAGCAAGTACATCGACCAGGGTGTTGCTGAGCTTGTGCCAGGCGTTTTGTTTATCGATGAGGTAACACATATCCCATCCCCCCTGTCATAACGGGACGGGAACTTTGAGGCTAACCGATATGACGTTTGATAGGCACATATGCTCGATGTGGAGTGCTTCACCTACCTGAACAGAGCCTTGGAATCGCCCATCTCCCCCATTGTGGTCTTGGCCTCCAACCGGGGAATGTGCACCATCAGAGGCACTGACGACATTGTCGCGGCTCACGGAATTCCCGCCGACTTCCTCACACGCTTGCTCATCATCCCCACAACGCCCTACGAGGCGGACGAAATCAAGCGCATCGTGCGGATACGCTCATCAACCGAAGGCGTCTCAGTATCAGATGCTGCCATCGACAAATTCTCGGAACACGGTGTCCGTATCAGCCTGCGGTATTGTCTGCAGCTGTTGACACCTGCAAGGTAAGTCACTGTGGCGAGAGGGGAGACCCCTGGGTGAAATAATCCGAGACACGGTTGCTGACTGAAGAAACAGCATTCTTGCCAAGGCCAACGGCCGCTCGCAAATCGACGTTCAGGATGTTGCTGAATGCGAGGACTTGTTCCTTGATGCCCGCCGAAGTGCCGCCCTCCTCAGCAGCGAGGCCGGGCGAGGATACCTTGCGTAAAATGGAGGGATTGCAGAGCCTGAGGGGGTTGAATTTCGGACTAGAAGGCGCTGGGTGTGAGGGAAGACGTGTCATAATTACTATTTTTAAAAGGAGCTACTTGGTTGATAGGAAAGAAAATACCTGACCTTCAGCTATTTTGTACTTGATAGGGAACCATGGAATACTACAGAGAATTGGCGTCGGGCTGGCTCAGATTGGCCACTGGCTATCGACCGTTGACCATATCAAGATATGAGAGAGAATGGCATCTGCAAATACCTGTCTAACTTTAGCTTCTCTTTAGGTGGGAGGTCTGCCTCCCTTGTCTTGTGCTCCCATAATGTTAAGCTAAATCTAGACCAAACAACAAAGTGGCACCCTCCTACAAGCCCTTTGATCATTCAGCAACCATTTCAACTTCAGCATCCAAGCCCTAGACACTGGGCCAAATGGGATTGGATGATGGAGCGAGAGCAATCCTGCGTCACCAATGCCAGCCCATCTCATCTTATTTCAGCTGCCGTCTCAAGTCTTGATGGGAACTGTTGGCCCGCATAACTAAATATGGTTAGATATTCAAAGAAAGTCGCCCTTGAATGAGTTTATGCATCACGTGCTACGTATAAACTTGTGCCAATTTCGGGGACGACATTGTCTCTGTTTCAGTCCCTGCTACGAAGCATTCCAGCCCCAGACTAAGACCAGACATAGTCCACATTCCGGCTCTACATTGCACTGCATTGTCGTTGTTGGATGAGGCTGGAATCAACAAGGGGCTAGTTAGAGTCAGAATGTGTTGTGCTTGGACCAGTTGAGGGTCGGTATTCACATCATAATGAGCGGACGTGCTCTACATGGGGAGACAAAAAGATGGACCAGGGAGGAAAGGGAGAAAAGATGATATATCATGGCAAAGTCCGTGGGTTACGGTTCTCTTTGTGAGCGTTTCTTGTTTCCCGTCCTGTTTCGTTGGGTCCTATCACATTCGCTCACATTCACACACACTCTCATTCTCTCACTCATTATCCGGTCCTAACTAACAGACCCCGGTTCCCTTTCGTCCTACTTTACTAGGGACTGTTCCCGACTGCGGAAAATACCTTGTTCCCTGTTCCTGGTACCGCACGCTTCCTAGTGGTTAAGTGGCTGCGGAAGTGCTGCTGTTGCTGCCGATAGACCAGGCCATACATTGGATGTGCAAAACCAGGACCAAGCTTCAAGCCAAACCTGCAGAGAACCGGGACGTGTAGGGGTATTCCCCGCTGTTCACTCTAAGCAAGCACCCCCTGGTGCAGAACGGTTAATCTATCTTGCGCATTGGTAAAGAACACAGTGGGAGAGTTGAGTTGAGTTTATCAAAGAAAAAGAGGGTGTAATTGGACGAGAAGAGAAAGGTTGTGAAGTTGAGGTGACAAGAAAAGAAGTGAAGAGAAGGGAACCCAAGGGTTCTAAGAAAAGAAACAAGAAAGGACAAGAGAAGAGGAGATCAAAGAAGGCGATAATGAGTCACGCCTAATTTCCCACTTTAGGCCCCAACGGAAAGAAAGAAAGAAAGAAAGAAAGAAAGAAAGGAAAAGAAGAGACAGTGTTACTGGTGCAAGCAGTTTCATTGTTCTTTGGAGGCTACTGAATGGGCTACCGTTAAACACACAAAGACACGGCCCTGCACAGACAGGCAGTGGTCCAACACTGCGAGAATAATCCCATCTTCTTTCAGTCAAGAAAGGGAAAGAAGAAGAGAAGAGAAGAGTCTATTCTGAGGAACGAATAGGCCATAATAACACACGATCATTGATTATATCTTTATTTCCTATATCTACCTCATCAAGAAGTTGCGTCTCCTCAGCTCATCTCTCGGCCTCAATTTCAACGGCACCGAGACCAGGGTACAGGGTCTACCACTTCCCGTTCGTTTGCCTGTCAGAGGAAGCAAAGGAAAGCAGAAAGAGAATCAAGCAAAAATGACACAAGTCATCTCTTTGGTTACGCCCTCCCAGGCTATGACCCCGGCCCACTCACCCATGGATTCTGATGACTACGATAGGCCCCGAGCCTTTCGTGCACTCCCCGACACTCCAGACTCTCCTAGTCCTCGCACTGCTGGCTTGGGTAGAAAACGTGCCGCTCCCATCAACCCTTCTGACGCTAGCTATGGTAGACTTGAGAGACTCAAACTGAGTACGCCCAGCAGTATGGCAAGCAATGAAACTACAAGAGATATTTGTCTCTGCACTCCGGCGCCCAAGATTCCACGACCTCGAAATGGTGAGTGGCTTCTCTCTTTTCCCCCCCATTCTTTCTTTGTTGATATGCTATGTACTTGTCGTTACAGTGAAGTTTGGAGTTGTGGATAGTGACAACATTTATGCACAAACATCTTTCAACATATATTCAACATCATAACTGACCGTTGCCAATAGCTTTCATACTGTATCGCCAACATCACCAAGCACAAGTTGTCGCTCGGAACCCAAACCTGTCCAATCCTGACATATCCAAGATTATTGGAGAACAGTGGAAGGACGAACCTCAAGAAGTCAAAGACAACTGGAAGGCACTGGCAGATGAGGAAAAGCAACGCCATCAGCAACAGTATCCTGACTATCGCTATCAGCCAAGACGTGGAAACAAGTCGCAAGGCCTCCGATCAGGGTCTATCTCCGCTGATGACTCTGGAAGATGCTTAAAGTGCAACCTCCGGTGCATTGCAACCCCCTCAACCCCTGCTACACCGTTTCCTACCCCAACAGCAAGTGAAGGCAGACCTCCCCCGTACCCATACACGCCGACCTTGCGTGATTCAGAAGCAGCTCGTCGTGGAAGTTTTGGCAACCTCGCTATGAGGCAACAACAGCCTTTAAAGCGGTCTCCTTATCGAGAAGTGGAGGAATACGGTCCTGAGTCGCCAGAAATGAAGAGACGCCGCTACAACACTACTGCCGGCTATCACCCAATATCATCCCCGGGGCAGGGGGGACGGGTGTTGTCCCTAGGAGCGGCTCCCCAGAGACCGTACCCTGTCACACCTCTGCCCGAGCCGTACTTTACTAGATCAAAGTCAGGACCGATGCCTCCCCCACCGCGACCAACAGCGGGAGGACCCTGGCCTGACCAGGAACATCGAGGCCGGCACCCTTCCTATGATGATGAGTCCCTCAGACTCCCTCCGCTGCAGACTCAAACTTCCATGTCTCCTACAAATACGCCAGAGGTCGATATTCGACAGCTCCAGACTCCAGTCACGGGTCTTGGAATATCGAATGCTCACGACCCTCAAGCTAGAAGCGTTGAGGCTATGGTTATGTCTATTCCGTTCACCCGAAAGCTATCTGTGCTCTCTAAGATAAATCACACTCCGATCAGCTCTCTAGGTTCTGGAACCTTATCTCTCGAGAAAGTCGAGAACAGGGGGGCTGTCATTGCCGTTGAGGGACCGAAGCCAAGAATATTGAAGCAGGTTGGCTTACTGGTTGAGCGAGCGCTTTCGACTTCTAGCGAAGTCGCACTCAAGACATGGGGGCAGATGGCGGAAGACGATGTCAGCAGCAACGGAAGTGGCTCACAGAACAACGAAGAGCCTCCAGACCCCAAGGCCAGCCTCGTATCATGTTTCGAAACGATGATTCAATGGCACCAGAAATCACGAGAGATGGTAAAGCACATTACCACCCAACCCGAGTCATTGCGTGGTTCACAGTGGGAGAGGGATTCAGATTCACCGATTTCCCGACGTGGTTCTATTGAAGAAGATAACACCTCCCGATCATCGCGGGATGACAACGGGAGTTCAAAGATACCGGTTGCCCTTATTAAGGAAGGATTCAGCCTTACTCATTCAGACTCATTCGCCTGCACGATACCCATTGCGGACGCCTATGCACCGATCGACCATTGGCAGTGGATGGCCACTCTCTGGCGCGGTACCATCAATCCTGACCTTGTTGTCTACGTGAAACCAAGTCTAGAGGACGAGATCGCGAAGTGCGGAACGGTCGATTCCTACAAGGGGCTTATGGTTGTCCGTGTTGCAGTGGGTAAAGACTTGGACGATGCAACCGAACGACGAATTGTTTTTGAAGTCATTGAATGGGTACGGGGAGGGAGCTTCAGAGAGAAAGCGGACAAGACGCGATGAGATGATGGAAATACCATAAATCCTTTTTCTCTTTTGGAAGTGGGCGATGAAAAGGATATTGTCAAGATTACACCTGGATCTGAGGAAACTTTTTACAACACAGCATATCTGGTGGGTTGTTTATTTGGAGGAAACATGTGTTGGTTCAGTTGATATCACATTCCTGTTAACAGGAGTAAACATGTAAAGTTTAGTAGGTAGGAGTCCATGGCGTCAATACTCTCAAATCTGTTTGTTTGTTTACATATATTTCCAATGATGAGCGTAGTTTGAGCCAAGTCCGCAGACTAAAGAGACAAAGAGCACAACTTGAAATACTAATTATAGCCTAAAGGAATAAGTATCTTTCCATTCTCTTTGTTTGACATAGGTACACCTGACGTCTTACAAGTGATACTGAAGCTATTGATATCCCTGCAACTCGGTGGAGTTTGAGTTTACCCCTGCATCAAAGTACGTACCTTTCCTTAACCGCTAAACGCCGGGAATGACTGCCGCCATCGTAATTTATCCGAAAGCTAAACGCGCCCCCGACTTTAGGGACTTAACTCAAGTACCGCTCCACCACGCACTACCTACCCAGACAGCTCCCCTCCCGTCTAATTAGTACTGTACGCGCCTCAGGAGACAGCATCAACAAAGACAAAGAAAAGGCCGACGACATTCCTCCTCGATAACGTCCCAGAACACTTCAAGTACTAGCGGTGCCGGCACGATGCCCTACGATCTCGACAACATATTATAATGCCGGATTTCAAGCCTGGGCAGACTGTCCAACTAAACGATGGCTCTAAAGCCATCGTTCGTTTCGTGGGCACCACTCACTTTCAGGTCGGAGATTGGATAGGCGTTGAGCTGGAGAACAAGACGGGCAAAAACGATGGAAGCGTTCAGGGAGAGCGTTACTTTGATTGCCCTATGGGCTATGGCATGTTTGTCAAACCTGTGATGGCCAAGATTATCGCACAAGCACCTACACCAAAGCCGGCTGCCCGAAAGCCCCCCGCCAGGCCAAGCAGTTTCGCACCTACTTCAGGTAGAGCTTCGAGCGCGGCGGGAGACGCAGGCTTGGGTAGGAGAAAGAGTCTCAATGCTCCCAGTCCTAGCCCGGTACCTAGGGTGTCCCGGCCGACAAGCATTGCAAGAGTAGGTGCTAATGTATAGCTGTTCAGTTGAATGCTAACCCGGATCAAGTCTCCTACGAAATCTCCCACAAAGCAGTTGAGCGCTGCTTCAAGCACTACTGTATCCCGAACAGGAACACCATCGAACGCGCGCGCCCCTTCCGTTGGAGCAAAGTCGCGCCCATCAGTTGGGGGACCACGAACATCCATGGGTCCTCCGCCACCCACTACTCGAACAAGACAAGTATCTACCTCGTCAGGTACAGCACGAGCTGCATCCGTAGTACCGAGGACAACGACTAGCCGCATGTCTTTGGCCGGACCACCACGACCAGCATCTCGACCAGCATCTCGGCCAAGCTCAGCTGCCAGACGGACATCTGTCGACTCACAAGCAAGAAGGGGCTCCTCGGACAGAGACGATATTGCTTCCCCTATTAAGGATAATGGGGACATTCTTTCACCTCAACCAAGGAGTCCTGTTCAGGCGAGAACAAAGGCGCTTGAGAAACTCACAGGTGGACCTTCATCGCGAACAACCACACCCCCTGCAGCACGAAAACCTTCATCGACGACCACCGGACCTCGCCCTGCTGCAAGTACGGCTGCAAGTAGAGAGATCGAAGACCTCAAGGCCAAGTTGAAGGTTTTAGAGCGCAAACGGGCTGAAGATCGAGATAAGTTGAAGCAACTTGACAAAGTCCAGGGCGAAAGAGACAAGTTCGAAAGTGTTATCCAAATGCTGCAACAAAAATATCAACCGCAACAGCAGGAAAATGCTGAGCTGAAGAAGTTGCTGAAAGAGGCAGAAATGCGACTCGATTCCGTTGAAGAGCTTCAGGCAGAGCACGACAGCATACTAGAACTGGCAACACTCGACCGAGAAATGGCGGAAGAAACAGCAGAAGTCCTGAAGGCCGAGCTGGAAGCCCTGAAAGAGAAGGCTGAAGAGATGGAATTGGAGGTTGAGATTTTGCGGGAAGAGAACGAAGAGTATAGTAAGGGAATGGCCCCCGAAGAACGAGCAAGTTCAGGCTGGTTGCAGATGGAACGGGCGAACGAACGACTAAAAGAAGCTCTCATGAGATTACGCGACCTTACTCAGGAGACCGAGGAAGAACTGAAAGGTCAGATTAAAGGGCTTGAGGAAGACGTAAAAGAGTTCAACACGATGAAGGAGGAATTCTCCAAGTGCCGCGAGAAGCTCGAGCAGTCAGAAACTGCCGTGGAAGATCTACGCCAACAACTCGACAATGCGCTTGGTGCCGAAGATATGATTGAAGATTTAACGGAGCGCAACATGAGCATGTCTGAGCAAATCGAAGAGCTGAAGGCTGTCATTGATGATCTTGAAAGCCTGAAGGAGATCAACGACGAGCTCGAGATTAACCACGTGCAGAATGAAAAAGAGATGCAAGAAGAACTCGACTTCAAGGACAGTGTCATTGCTGAGCAGGCTCGACGAGCAGGCCAGCAAGAAGAGTCGCTAGAGGATATGGAATATACCCTCTCACGCTTCCGTGAGCTGGTGACAAGTCTGCAAAGCGACTTGGATGACATGAAGGCCTCACAAGCTGTCACCGAGGGCGAGTCAGAGAAACTCAACGACCGATCTAGGGCCATGATGGATCTCAACATGAAGCTCCAGATCTCCGCATCCAAGGCTCAAGTCAAGACTATTGACCTTGAGCTTCGACGACTGGACGCTCAGGAAGCCGAGCAGCACCTGGAGATCGTTAAGCTATTCCTTCCTGATACATACAAGGAGGACCAGGATTCTGTTCTTTCTCTCCTTCGCTTCCGCCGTGTGGCCTTCAAGGCGAACCTCCTCAACAGCTTCATCCGAGAACGACTCAACGGACAGCCTCATCCAGGACACGAGGACGACGTCTTTGCTGGATGTGATGCCTCGGATAAACTCGTCTGGGTGTCTACTATGTGCGATCGCTTCGTCAACGACATGACACAATGCACCATTGAGCAGTTCTCCAAGTACCAGAACGCACTGCACGAGCTGGAGCCTGTTGAGCGAGCCTTGAACGTCTGGATCGACGGTCTTCGCCGTGACGACCTAAAGGAGAAGACCTGCGCCGATGAGTTGCACCGTACAATTGCCCTCCTTTCTCACTTGGGAGAGGTGCACATCTCTAACAGCCTGGCCAACTATGCGGACGATCTTCACATGAAGGCCATGGTCATGCAAAGCCACCTCGACTCCGCAGCTGTCTCCTTTACTACCGTGCGAGGCCTTGTTCAACGAGTGGTTCCTGCTGAGGGCGAGGAGGATGAGCTGGCTCAGCATTTCGCGAAGAAGTCTGAGGCGGTTGTTACTCATACTCGAGGCACTAAGGTCATCGCTGCCAAGGCTGTCCGAGCCCTTCAGGATTTGCGAACTCGTTCTCTGTCTCTACTGCCAGACACCAATGAAGCATTTGAGCAATGCTGTGAGGCGACGCAAGAACTTGCTGATCTAGCACGACAGATCGGTCTTGGCATCCACAATTTGTTCACTGCTGACGAGGGCCGCACTGAGCCCTTCACCTACGCAGAGGTACAGTCTGCTGTTTATAAGACAGTCCTCTCTGTAAGCACCTCAAGCGAATCGGACCTGTTCTCTACATATTTGTCTAAGCTGCGAGCCGTCACCACCCAAATCAGTGACCTGGTGTCGCTTGCTACCGATCTGGATCAGGTTCAAGAGTTTGATGTCGCTCCTGCGCCCTGGCGACTGCGATCGCAAGAGCTCAAAGCTCTCAAGACCATCCCTGTTGACGCGGAGGAGGAGCTGCGTCGCCTCAAGGAGGAGCATAGTGAGGCTCGTCGCACCATCGCCCAGCGTGATGAGCACCTCAGCACTGCTGTCCTCAAGATCGAGACACTCGAGTCCAGAATGCGTGATGCCCAAGCTAATATTGATCGCATTGCCAAACTGCAAGAGGAGCTTGAGGCTTCAGGGCAGCAGATCGGTAGCCTTAAGGAGGACATTGAGAAGCAAGATCGTGAGCTCAAGAATCTCGAATCAGAACGCGATAAGTGGAAGAAGATTGCCAGCGATAGCCGTGCTTACGCTGATGGCGCCGATGCTGCTGGAGCCAAGGCTGGTCAAGAACGAGCCGTTGCCACAGCTCGCGAGATGGATGCCCTTAAGAAAGACATCGAGAGTCTGCAGTCAGCAGTCCGATATCTGCGCGAAGATAACCGCCGGGCCCGTACATCTGAGCAACATAAATACGAATGGCTGGCTGAGCCACTCAAGAAGCCCATTTCTGTCGCTGAGCGGCGCCGTAACATGATCACAACTGAAGGCAAGGATGTCCTTGGTGAGCTCGTCAAGATGGCTTCTTCAGCTTCCCTTTACGACTTCTCTTCCCTGCCTCAAGACAAGCTCGCCTGGAAGCCTGTGCGAGCAACGCCGCAGTATCACGCAGCCAAGCAGATGGAGGACTATGCAAGCTGGGAATCCTGGCAAGAGTCGGTCCTTAAGAAGGCCCACATTCTCCAAGGACAAACAGCCAACGCTGAACGGAGGAAGAAGACGCCCACAGCAGCTCGTTTACGCATAAAGTTGCCTGGTGTCGATGGGAAGGTCGTGCCAGGATCAGGAAGGGGGGTCCAGATCGTGGGATCGCAGGAATGGGAGGCTCTACAGGGCCGATTTGCTGTATGATTATAGAATATTACATACCCCTTGATTTCGTCTTTGTCTTTCATCAGTTCTGGTGGATTTTGTTGGTATGAGAGAACGAATAGCAAATCTACGTGGCAGAAGCAAGCTTTGTCAAATCACCCCTGGCATTCAGGGGCTTTTAGCAATTGAATCTTGAATCATTTCATCTTTTTTGTTCATATGTGATCATGCTTGATCCCTGGGTATCTCTATCCTTCCCAGATCATCGCACCCTCTACATTTCGTACCATTGTTTCCCTCACGCTTTGCCCTTACCCTTCTTATCCTTCTTCTTCTTACTACCACCACTGCTGCTCTCTTCACCGCCACCTCCTTGTGCACCCATAAGAGCCGACATGGGATCTCCACCACCCTGCATCTCCTTCATCATATCCTTAAACAGATTCTCAGAGACACCACCACCCGTCATAGCAGCACTCAGATACGGCACCAACTCGCCCATTTTCCATCCACGCGGCACAGCGGGCTTGGGGTAGGGCTTTCCAGCCTCGGGCTGTAGTTGGCCTCCAATGCGGACACGCAGACCGGGACTGTCTTCGGTCGTAGGGTTCTCGCGTAGGTGTTCAGCAACAAGACGGTACAGATGATGCTTGTTCTTAACAGGGTGACCAGGCGTCTTCTTCAGTCCGACCTTGACACGGCCGGGGTTCGCCCAATCCTTCGGATGCACTTTTTCAGGTTCGAAGAGTGTTGGTAGGCGTAGTCTCGAGCAGGCGTTTGCGATCTCTCGAGCGAGGGGGTCCTTGACAGCGAGTTCAGCGCCGACACGACGGCCCTCTGCGCGGGATCGTGATGCATCGAAGTAGACGGGATAAAGACATTGGAAATCGGCGTAGGCAGATCGATCGGCCGAGGCGGGCATGGTACCACCAACAGGGGCATCGGCGGGGACGATGGCGGGCATCTGACGAGGAGGAGCTGCAGCAGCGGGAACTGTTTTAGGAGCGGCCTCAGACGGTTCGACTCGGCGCATGATATCAGAGTCGGCGAAATCGTCGATATCGGCCTCGGCAGGGTCAGAGTCGAAGTCGCTGTCCGACACCTCTTCTATTCTTGGGTGGGACATTTTTGCGGTTTTGGTGGGTGAAAGAGGAGGAGGAGGAGGGGTAAAGTTGGAGGGGACGTTTGGTAAGTATCGGTATCCTCCAGCGGTCGAGGAAAGACCGAACTCGATATAGGCGCTATCACTGGTAGGGTGAGTACAATTGAGGTCCAAGGACTCGGGTTGGTGATGGTTGAGATGAGGTTGAGAGATATGGGGTACAAGTGGGACGTGGAAGGTGGCACTTTGCCCATGAAGTTCACCAGGCCCGGTGTGGGATGAGCCTCAATGTGGGGTACAGCAGGTAAAGTTGTTGCTCACCGAGTTCACCGAAAGTAATTCTTATTGGTACAGAAATGAAAGAACAACAGGACAGGGGTAAAAAAGTAAGCTTTTAATAGCTTAACACAGGTAGAATAAAACAAACCTCTGGTTACCTAGGGAAGGTAAGGAAAATTAAGACCTTGATCATAAGTGACAAATACTTAGGTGATCTTAATCTAAACTTAAGTAGCCTTCGGATAGATTCAGACAACTTAGACTAAGGATAACCTTAGCCAATTACTAGGATGAACTTAGGAAGCTTTTGATCAGTTCTAGCTCCCTCCCTAGTTGAGGATCGCAAGCTCTTCTGCTCCTCAAGGCCTGGGTATAATTTAAAGATACGAGGCATGTATCATGGTAAGAACTTGGTCCTCAGTTCAATCAAACTAAGTGATGTACCAGGATAAGTGTCCCGGCGCCCTCACCAGGTACGATGCAGTGGTTGATTGGCACGGTACACACTGACAACTTGACACGCAAGAAATTAAGTCAATCAATTTATCGAAGCTCAGTTTATCCCATTCTATAGCAAAGCCAGTCCCAGACCACTCTGGGGCAAAAGGGATAGCAGAACTTCCTACTTGCCCTTCATATAATAAATATTAAAAACTGTGTGATCGAGAAATGAAGTGACCATAGTGTACACGGAACCAAGTCCAAAACTGGGCCTACCAAGTGTCGTGCAACCTGTTGCGAACGCTACACATGGTGCAGCTATTTATCAGTTTTCGTGGATCTTGTTATTGGTAAACTTGGTATTCGGGGGATGACCATCGATCTTAAACCTGCAATGCGATCGAGTGCATAAACCATTCGTTACGTTAGGGCACTGCAATGGCGAAGTCAGCAAGTAGTAACAAAGGCTTTGGGTTTGAAATGAACTGACATTATGCCCATATATGCAGTCGTCGACATCACAATCCTGTCCATTTATGCAGGGATTCTGTCGAGCGAGCATTGCGAGTGCCTTTAACTGTTCTTTTGATGGCTTGAACGTATGGTTGAAAGTACAAGCACCTATTCTGGTACAGGGCCCACGGAGAAAGTGATTGTTGCACAATTTTTCGTTGTCCTCGCGACGCTTGATATCTTCCATGGCTGGAATGCCAACCGTAATGGGAGGATCGCGGCCACGAGGTCCAGGGCTCCAAGCTGGCTGAGGAGGTGCCTTGCTCGCGGGCTTAGTCTTAACCTGTTTAGGAGGTAGGGGTATAGTCAGTTTGGGGGGAGGACTGGCACTTTTCGTGATCTTGGCCCAGGAAGTTTGTGGAGGCGACATGGATGCAGTGCTTGTAGCAGGCGTCAGTACAGCTTGTGTCGCTGCGCGAGCTACCGGTGAACTCTGAGGTTTGGTCGTCTCGGTGCGCTGGACGCTCGGTTTCTCTATCAAAGTCTTATCCACAAGTTTGGTTGTGCGAAAGATGTCGCCGTCAAGCGCATAAACAGTGTTGCCGCAGGCCTCGATTTCGCGCACTATAGGCTGTCCCAGAAGTACAGAGACGCACATCCTGGCATCCCCGGCCTCGTTAATTCTGCGCAGAAAAGGAGCATATTCGGCACCATGACCGACGCCTAACATGACATGTCTACAGTTGTAGCATCCCAGATGCCACGTTGCCGTTTCTATGCACGTCAGTCAAGTGTGTTTGTGGCCATTTCACCAGCGGTTGGACGCACCTTCAATTTTGCGAACCAGTGTTGTCTTGCTCAAGCCAATATCAATAAAGTTAAAAGAAGACTTGGCCTCTGTGAATCCGATAGCAAATTCATGGAAAAGACTTGGGTCGTCAATGCTGCCATCGTTCAACAGAGCTCGGCCCATCTCAGCAATGTTGACCAGAACGTCGCAGAAAATTTCGAACGAAGATGGTAGGTTGGGACAAAGTCTCGCTACCGCGAGAAGTAGGGCTTGCGCAGCCTGTTTACCACCTTCGCGACCTTGCTTGACAAAGCGATTGTCGAACTGTATGATAGTTAGCGAGACCTTCTTTCATGACGGACAGTCCTTTGGAGTAGACTAGAGCTGAGAGTAGACGAGACGAGACCAAACGTACAATGAGGCCATTGCCGTCCATGATTATAAAGACATAATTATTGGCACTCTGACGATATTAGCTCCTGCATTCTGTGTGCATAATGACATGTTGTACCGTGATGCTACTAAAGTCCGCGGTGAGCTTCTCACATTGCAATCGAGTGCCTTCATAGAGTTTGCGGAACTGGCTCATATGATTCAAACCCAAGGTAGCGTCGGCAAGCTTTTCTTGGAGGGCATGATTTTCTTCTCGTAGCGCATGCTTTGCTTCTTGGAGGGCATGATTTCTTTCTACAAGATCCTGTTATGAGAGTCAGAAATGACCGTAGAATACGAAGTTACAAAGAGGATACTGCAGAATGGACCGGGGCGGAAATCAGACCTTGATATAGTTCTGCTCATGCGTTCCTCGAGTCTGCAGAGCATTAAACCGATTGACCAAGTCATTCATTTGAGTATTAGATGCCATTTTGGAGATCTCTTGTGGCGCGAAGACAGGAGTTGATGAAAGGCGCGTGCTTGTCTCAATGAAGGAGTTGGATAATAAATGGGAGAAGAAAGAAAAAAGATCAACTGTTGGCTCTGTAATTGCACGCACCCCAGCCAACATGCACACCCTAATAAGTCAGGTAAGGTAGGTAGGTACCCTTTCTCCGTCGGCGCAAGGGGATTGGATTGTATGGGGGTGGGAAAGGAAAGTGCAGTGCAGCGCAGCGCAGCGCAGTGCGAGTATAGGTAGGTAAGGTATGGTAAGGCAAGGTAGCGGTAGTGTGCACGTTTGGGGGAGATGAGACAAGGAAAGAACAGTCAGTGAGTTCAGTTGCCGAGAAAAGCAAGCAAGCATCAAACCGAGCTGGGCATTTCCTTCATTCAGTAGTGTTATTGGTAACTGGAATCTGCTTCGATCGGGTCGAATCAGAGATGAAAAAGTGTTAAAGAGAAGAGAAGATGATGTTGATGTTGCTCTTATATCAACTGAAAGAGATAGAGTTAGATTTGGTGTGCGACTTTTCGCAAAAACTTTTTTTTTTTACCGTCGTGTTCCTTGCGACCTTGCCTCGATAAAAGCCGAAGTTGGGTTGGCTAATGTGTGTTGACATAAAAGCTAAGCACAGCCTTATTTAGAACCGGGACTTGCAAAAGGACGTATCATGGAAATGGAAATAAGTCTTATGCCAAAGTAGATTTTACGGATTTCTGAAATGCAAGTCTCTGAAAACTGTAAACGACTAAGGGATTGCTACTGGAAACTGTATCTGATATCCTGCTACCTATTTTTCATAATGTGAGGATTTATTATATCACGCTTGGCTCCTTCCCGTCAGCGATCACAGTTAAGCAGACCCGAAACAGGGATCATCAGCCCACGGCCTTGCCCATGCAAGCTGCAGGTGCAGATCCACAGTGGAGACGCGCGCCAAAGGTGAAAGATCGAACCCCAGGCCAATCTGATTGGCTCAAGTTTTTGCGCCTCAGCCTATTGATAGAAAAACGATGCCAACCAAAGGACTACAGAGGTACTTCCATCTCATAAGGCGTGAATATTAGATTTAGGAGGCCAATATTAATCCAAGATCCTGGTTTCTCGTTTCTCCCTCCTGACTTCTGTTTATATTTCAGCATGCCGATTAACTGCGCATAGAAATACCTGTGTGCGGCTTTTTATGTCAACTCGCCTTACATACAGTCAACTCCACTCTACCGTTTGATCTGGAAAACGCCTTGTCATCTCATTGATTCATCAATGGTTGGCGCTGAAACAAAACATGGGATCTCAAAGACATGCATACATACACTTAGCTCAATACATAAATATTCTACGAGTTTCTAATCGTTCATAAACCGCAAATCTGTCTCATATTTTCACACAAAAACATGAACAATCTTCAATTACCCGAAGGCTTGCGTATGACGCCTCCAATGTCATTCACAAACGACGACTGATACGTCCAAACGCATGTAAACCTCCGACACGCACGGTAACGGAGCAGAAGACTTCACTATTCGCCACCACAACAGACAAATAACAAATAATGACAGCGTTAGTTGTTGAGTTACAGTGGGTGACACAGCAGCCCAACATCGGCTCTTGAGGCCACCAACAGCAGTCCCCGTCTATCTGACAGCCTATCCACGGGCTCAAGCCCTCAGCCTGATCATGCAGACGCCCGTGCAAGCGACATACTTCGCGTGTCAAAGATATTACCTGCCCAATCAAAATCCGCCTCTACTGCCGTACGCGTGCGACTGCATTGACTAGAACGCCTTGCCAGTATGGACTACCAGAGCTGAGGCATGGTGTCTCATTCAAGCATTTGTCTGTTTATTCTGTATCACAATGGCTGTGGCTTTAGACTCTAAGTGACTATTCATATAAATGGAGGATATAGTCTAGACACTGTGAGATACAACAGCTTGTCGGCCTTGATACATTCATAACATATGCAGCTTATGTTGGGACAGTAAATCAGGCTCTGGTAATTTCTGAGTTGTCAAGTATTTTTGTCTGATTCGTCCATGTTTCGGCTATTCTTCCTCAACTGTCAGAAAATGTGAAAGTTGAAATCAGGCTACGAGCCAATCCTGACCACTCAAACTGAGAAAACCATCGACTATCATAGACTATCATAGACTATCATATAATATTTTGAAATGAAGGAGAACACAAAACTCCCTGCTTGTACGATGAGTCAATCACAAGGTTCAACAATTTGACATGTCCAAAGTCTTAGATGATATTGGGAATGCTCCCTTCCGTCGCGGCAGGAAACTGGTTCAGCATTCGCCAAACAGTATCATCCCCCCATCCGCCTCCAAATTGCCACATGGAATCATTGCCAATATCTCCTTGGCTACCTTCCAGGGGTAGAGGAAGCATAGTCATGCCGGGGCCCGCTGTAAGGTCATTGTAGACAAGATCTCCCGTCGGAAAGAAAGGGGCCATCGCGTTAAGATTATCCATTGATGGAACTATCCATGTCGAGTCCAGTCCCGAAAATTCACTTCTGCCTAAAGATGAGCTACCTGGTGTCGAATCTGCATTTGCTTTGCTCGACCCCGCTGAAGAGCTGGTAGCTCGAGATGGCAGCGAACCATTCTGGGCTTTGTTCATCGCTCTCCTGAATCGAGCAACGATAGCTCTTAGCACGCCCTGAGCCGACTTAGCTAGCGGATTGCGCTCTTGAATTGCCGAAAACCGTTCAATCGTCCATTGAAAGTGCTCTATCGTCTTGTCGGTGTACTCCGTGTGCTCGCGGGGAAACAAGATATACACGGACGCCAGGAGTACAATCGCATCGAAACTAGCGAAAAACAACATGAAGTTCCTCCACGAGTCTGGGGGTAAACCTTCGAAGGTCATTTTCTGAATTTCGAGTGTTTTAAGGCTCGCGTGAATAGCCTCCACTCTACTCTCAAGGCGATTAAAGATGAAAGGCCTATGCAAAGCCATCTTGCTGAACTCGTGAAGACTCGCAAAGTAGAATCGATTTGCTGGATACCAGTGTGCCTCTGGTAAATGATCCCACCGTGTATCGGGACTTTCCATTCTAAAGGAAGCAGGGATCTTCTTATCGAGATCTAGAATGCATTGGTGAATCTCGTCAATCTTTGCAGGGTCCATGGGATATGAGCCGTTAACTTCAAGGTTCTGAATTGCCCGCAAAGGCCCACAAAGTTCGTAGTTCCATAAGAGTCGAGTAATTGGTGTAGGATGGCCATCGTCGCCTCGAGGAAACACTGGCATCTTGGTACGGCTTTGAGGTATAGGTGCGTCAACTGGAGGTGTAGGAAGAGTCTGATTCCAGTCGACAGTTCCTGGACGTCCGAGAATCATGGCGCAGTTGAGATCCCAGATGGCGAGCAGGATGTAGATCCTTCTCCGTCGTTGGATCAGCCATTGATTCTCTAAAATACTCTCAACGCTTGAGTCCTTTGGTTTGGGATCTAAGCTGTCACGATGCATCCCTAGGTCCTGAGCATCGCGAATCGCAATTGCGATGGTGTGCCACTGCTCAACATCAGTCAACTCTTCCCTAGGCATCATCTCCTCATATAAACTTACTGCATCTGTAACCTTCGCCGTAAACTTGTGGAATGATGCTCTGAGAAATTGTGCTTGGACCGTAGACAGAGACAAGTGTTTCTTCCCCAAAAGGTCAAGAACTGCCTGTCCTGACTCGCTATACTCAACAGCCAAGTCCTCGAATCTCATACCTCCAGCAAATTTAAGCGAGTCGAATGTGGAATCTGGCCTCTCAGGCAATAGAAGGAGGGCGGTGGCTATGATTTGAAATACAACTGCTGGAAAGGCTCGCAGTTCAGGGTTCAAGCCGCGGGGACCAGCATCTGAGAACACCGAGAACGGCAACGAATTCCACTCGTCTAGTTGCGCATAGAAGATGTCTGGGTCAATTGGGTAGTATTGCCAGTTGAAACCACGCATGTACATCTCGACGAGTTTTTCAATATAATTCCTGGCAGGTAATTGGCGAATTATAGCCTTGTACTTTTCCCTCAAAGCAAGCTCTTTACCGGGAGAGCCTACGGAGGAATCATGAGATGTTACATCCGGTGGCCCATCGTCACCGTCAGTGAGTGTCTCAATGCGTTTGAGTATACCCATTGTAGATGCGCCATTGTGAGCGTATCCCCAGCCAGCCACTTTAGATGACAGAGGCTCGTTTGACCTCTCATTCGATGAGTCGACAGACTGCGATGGTGATGGCTCGGCTTGTTTAGCGAAAGTATCTGAGTAAGTCGGTGAGGCTTTTGTTGTCTGCTTGCTCTGTTTACCCTGCTGGCTCTGCTTGGCTGTTGGAGCTCCTGTCTCATAAACGCAAGCTGACTCTTTATTTCGAGACTTGCAATTGCCGCATGGTTGTTCGCGATCGCACTACACATGCCTTCAGTTAAATTGCTCTTGTACAAGATAAGTGTATCATAGGCTTATAGTTACGGACCCTCTGCTTCCTTCGATGACATTCAGTGCACGATATGACAATTCGTCTTCTCTTCCTCAGACGCGGACCATCATCGTTC